AAAATATTAAATTTCCTCATAAAACGGTCATTACAATTGTTATTTAATAAACACTCGCTGCGTGGAAGCCGTGTCGCATTAAAAATCGGGTCTATTAAAATGAATTTATGCGTGGGTCGCATTTATGCATCTCTTCACTAGAAATTTCAATAGGACACAAACGATACGCATTTGTTGGTTTTTATAAGAACCTACAAGGTGTTACATGATTTGAAACTATCTAATATTAAATATTCTATAAAAATCTTAAACATAAAATGATTTCTTACACTTCAAAGTCTCACCTTATAACTAAATACAAATACTCCAAGTAACCAAAAAGTGACACATCGTTTATGTCCCCTTTTTTTCTCTTCATTCTATTCTTCGCTTTTCTTTCGACATCGACGGTGGCGCGCGAGTCGTTAATATGCGTCTCTCTTCGGCAGGCTAAAAAATACACCATAAAAGGTGTGTGTAGGTCATATATTTACTCTTTTATATTAATGTCTCTTCTTCTGTGCGTCCAAGAATAAAAAAAACGTGCACGAAAACAACCATCATCATTCACGTTTGGTTCTCTTTTTTTGTTATTGTGCGTTTTTATTATGCGCGTTCGCCCATTTTAACCTTTTCATGGGACATAATAATAAACGAATAATCATCTAAGCAACATAATCGAATTTCACTTTTCATTCATTCAATATTTTATTATGTTACAGATTGCGATGAAAGACGAAATTAAGGTAAGTGTTAAGTATATTATTTAATAAATTTTTCCATGCACAACCAAAGTGTTACACACGTAACACATGGAAAACACGTTTTATTTTTGGGGTGCTCGATCGAACGATGTGCACAACGCGCGTTGCTCGGCTTAAGCGCGATGGTATCTAAATGACGTATTAGATTTTTAAAAGTTTTATTCACGCACACGACCGCAAACGTACGTGGAATAAAAAAACGCAGCCACGAGCCACGTTCGTTACCACCTAGATTACCATTTTAATTTATTTTCATTTTTCTGTGCGCGCACGAGCGTGCGCTCGCGGTTTATATAAAATATAGGGTTGTGAGTGTATCGCCTGCGGGGGTGGGTGGCAACTTGCAACCATTTATTGCTCAACTTGTTTTTTGACGTTTATTTTTTTTTGATTTCCTCTCCTGGTCATTGAGATACGAAATTTTCTCATCGTCGATAAGCACTATTTCAATTTTTCAGGAATTCAAACACGCTTCGTTTCGATTAACGTATCCAATCAGATTGCGCCGGTCGGAATTACAAAAACAAAGACTTTCGGCCGGCCATCTCGCATGAAGGTGAAAAATGCCGGCGTGCTCGTTCGCTCTATTGGTTTTGGCGCACAACGTATAATTATATTTGTAGCGCGCTTCGGCAGAGGTGTTAAAAACGTTGGTCGCGAGATCTCCGTCGACGATTCTCCGACGCGGGTCATTAATAATGGCTTTGTTTCAGCGTTTCGCTGCGCGTCGATAGAAAGCAGATTTTTGATTCGGAAAGCCGCGAGGCATACAAAAAATCAAGCGCGAAACACGCTCGACTTTACGTTTTGCGCCTATTTATATTTATTATGATTGCGAAACATCTACATACATTTACATTACATTTTCAATATAAATTTATTCTCATAACTCATATTGGCATGGAGTTAATCATAGATCGATGAATGCGAGAATGGTTCTTTGCAAAACATTTGATAAATGTACATTTGCGCAAAAACTCAACACATTTTTATTGAGAGCGCTTTTTATGGTTTTTGTGATATTGGATAAGAATCAGTTTTTGAGCAGGCGCCAATACGCTTAATAATAAGCCAGTAGAAAAACGTGGTGGTGATTTGGTGTTTGGAAGCGTGTAGTTTAAGCTTTCGGGCTTTTCGTCCGGGGGTGTTTGTCTAAACACGCGTCGATAGCGACTGAGTGACTATATATCGTTAAGATAACGTTAATCCGATAACCAATTGCCAGGATAAACAAGGCAAAGGGAGGATATGACAGGGGCCGTGACAATCTCTGCGCGAGCGCTGATAAGAAGCGCTCTCCTAAGACTCGACCCGTCGAACGCTGAGCGCACACACGCGTGCGGAGACATTAAAGTCCCTTTTCGATGTTCCGTCGTGTAGACGTCGACGTCGAACCGACCCTTCCAACATCTCTCTTCCTTCGTTTAGTACCTAATATACACTGCCTAGTAACAAAAACCTCCCGATTTAATTTTAAACTTTTGATTGACTGTTTTCCAACAAACAATATAATAACAAAACTTGTACAATATGATTGATTAGTATTTTTACAAACCTTTGTTACGAAATTTATGCAAAAGCTTGATCAAAGTTAAACATGCAAATTTTATTTTAATTTGCCTCCATCCCTTTGTGTCGTAGCATGTTTTGTCTGAACCTGAAAAATGTATAAAGAAAAGTAAACATGCATTTATAGCAAATGAGTATTATTCAGCCCAGCTGATTAAACTTAAAATAAACATGCAAATTTGAGCGCATTTGCATACTAACTGCTTAATTTTAAGTTTTTGAAAAGCAGATTGAGTTTTAACCTGAACGCGAGACGGCCCACACCGTATCGGAACGAATGTAATCTTTAATAGTAAGGTGTATGATTGAATAGTGTAATATTTTGATTATGCACCGCGATTGTTAAGTTGCACACTAAATATGTGATAATCCAGAAATGAAAACGCAATTAATCAACCGGGAAACTATCGTATTACTGCGCCGTACACAGATTGCATAATATAATCATTATTCATCGCTAGCTGCGTGGCACGTGGACGAGAAAACTCAAACGTTTACTTGCAGTTTTATGCATTTAAGCAAAATAGTTCATATTTATTAGTTCTTCGCAGTGTAGGTATAATTTGCGTGCTTTTAGAAATGAAATAAAATAAATTTTATTTGTTTGTATCTTTTGTAGGTAAGTTTTTCTTTCTATAAAATAATAAAATAATATAATTTTACTTTGAAGCTCGAAGCTCTTAAAAACGCAACTCACGTTATCTGATAACGCCCTGATTTGAATAATAAATTAGGCACGACCATCGAAATTAAATAAATTTTAACGCCTTGTTGATCAATAATAATAAAAACTTTATCGACGGATCTGTTAATTAATGGTGCTCGTGCAGCACGGCCCGTTAAAATAAAATTCCACGAACGATCGCGCGTTTTTCCTCCTCTTCGGCGTGCGTCTTCGCTTATTGCTTCGCTTCTTCGTGGACTCCGGTGATTCCGAAGAGTTTGTGGCGTGCGTAGAGTGAGTGCACATTTTATTTGACTCATCCTACCAACAACTCGTACTTAAGTCGCTACAATCGGTAGAATCAACTTAGGTTATTAATTATTGTTATTAAATAATATCGTTCATGTATTGCTTTTATGTAGATGAAGAGTCGATGTATTAATACTTTAATCTATCATACTGTCACATGAGCGCTTTTTCATTTTATGAAAGCTTCAGAAATAAATCAAAGAATAAAAAAACTTGGCAAAATTTTTACTTTCTACGCAGTTGATTCTAAACAATCAGCTTTTTAAGCACCTGACTAAACTCACCTTTGCGTTTCAGTGATAACAATCTTAACGTAACTTTTGGTTCAACTTGAGCTGGCATTCAATCGATATTTTATTCCACTACTAGCTACTTGCCTACAACACGATTCATAATCTAATTTAAGCATTGTGTAGGCACAAATTTCCTAAGCTCATTTCACCAATTATGATAATTTTAGTGTTAAATTTTGCAAATTACGTGTTTCTAACACACAACAACAAAATAACCCCCTCAACTATAGTATTTAAAGCACAGCGCACACAGTTAATGTAAATGTTAATGTTTAGTATTACCGAATGGTTCAAGTTTGACTTAATTTATTGCCAAATTCATAAATTAATTTCAATTGCCCACCGTTATCTGCCTATGTGCCCTATGCAAATGTGGCCATAATCATAACCTAATTGCTAACTCATAACTAACAATGAGCTCTGTATCAATCCTAATCACAATGATTAATAATAGGTATTTAATTAACGCGTCACGAATGCAACTCTCTAATTATTCGATAATATTAAAGTGTATATAAAAGTGATTTCAGATTACAGAGTTCAAGGATGAAGGTATATTATAATTGGAAAATAGTTAACACAGATGTAACAATTGATTATTTACTATTCCAACTGGTAGTTGTCGGAATTGTCGTGGGTGGTCGTCGAATGCGTTTGGCGTCAATTCATCCACATGTTACGCACGAGTGGTTTTCGTAAAGCGACCGATTGTGGTTGGGGCTGGCTGTAATTAGCATTCATGACGACGCATGTGTTTCGTCGCGGGGAAGGAACCGATGCGCCGGCACGAGCATCTCGAGCCGTCTTCATCAGGCCTCCAATTAAAGAAGTTGCAGTTACATTTAAATCTGCGCTCGCGTTCTTGAGGGTCGACGGCGGTTCACGCAAGATTAATAGTCAATGTTGCGAGCGTGTACGTTCGACATGCATAATTAGTTAGTGTGTAAAAAAGAGCGGTTTAAGAAAAAATAAAAGTAGTTTTGAGGCAATTAAGGCTCCATTTCTTCATTTGTTTATTGGGTAGGAACCTATTAGGTGGAAGAAGTTGGGAAGATTAATTTTTTAGTAGTTTTGTAGGAGCTAAGCGGTTGTATTGTGGTTGCGGTTGCAAATCCCTCAACTTAAATAGACTGGCGCCAAGATATTTATTTTCAGAACTGGTGACTAAATTGAGTGCATCTGATGATATTTACTTGTCTTAAAATTATTTATTTTTTTTACATGAGATAAAATAAATATCTTGATAGTTTCCATTATAATGTTACCTTTATTAATTGTGCTATTTAATTCTTTAAGTTACTTTTTGCCAATTAAGTTATTTTCTACCATTTCATTTATGTGGCGCCGCGTAGCGAGGCATTGCCCAAGTTATTTTATACAAATTCACAGAACATATTCCCACCAGCGCAACTTATCGTTTCCTGTAAAACCTTGATGGCGTCCATCTTTCGCCACCGCAGTATTTTCGTTCTCTTCTGCTATGACATATTGTCAAATGTTGTCAAATATGCGGAGATTTAGCAAGTTTTAACGTTTTAGTAAATAATCTTATCGTGCCAAAATGATATAACTACGTTTACACTTAATTTATTTTACCGTATTATCTACAAATAATTTATGCAATCGTCTCGCACCATACAATCGAAAGCAGCATGAGTGATTCCAGCAGGAAGACTTCCAATGGTGCTGTGGAGCAGATCATGAGGAATATGACGAAAGACATAAACAATTCGGACGGTACCTATATACAGTTCACGTCATCTTCGACGCCACCGCAGGACACATGGAACATCCATCCGCAACCGTCGTACATACCATTCAACATGCACAGGCAACCTGAAGCAGCAATGCCCCCATACAACATGGAACAGTATCCACAATCAGTACCCTACAACTACATCCCCCAGCAGCCCATGTATGGCAATGAGCATTATGAGAAACACTTGCCTACCCAACATGACATGAACTATGTCTTTCCACCAGCCAGTGTGCCAGAGTTTGTCTTCTCATCAGAGTACAAGTCTTTCCTATCAAAAAATATGCATAACATCAACATGTCTGAACATGCGTACATCCAACCACAGCCAAATGGTGACTACATGCAACAGGAGCCAATGCAACAACCACCAATGCAAAGCAGGTCACCTTTAATTGATAATGTGGTTGGGAACTGGACACCTACAACCAGTGGAACATATTCACCATTTGGTAATACATCCAGTTTCAATACAAGTAATATTTTTGAACAAGTACAAGACATGGAGTATGCTAACAACAAGCCCAAACAAGTGGTTGAACCCAAGGCTAATGAGAAATATGTGGAGTTTGAGCCAAGGACTGAAGAACCACCAAGTTTTCAGTTCAACAGGGATACTAAGAAGCCCAGGATGGTGGCTGAAGTAAAGCCAATGAGGCCAAGTTATTCAGATGTGCTGTTGAAGTCCGTGCCGCCAACCACCACGATGGCATCATCAAAAATCAAGCTTGACAACAAAGATAAAGAAGCAAAACCAAACAAAAAAGATGCTAAAAAGGTTGTGAAACAAGTGAAACCTAATAACTCATTGAACAGATCCAATACTTCAAATGAAATTAAGGACCTGGGCAATGATAAGGTAAATAATTTCAAAAACTCTGAGAAATCAGTGAAGGACAACAAAAATAATAATCTGAATAGGAAGTGGGCTTCCTTGGACAATGTGGCTGATTCATACTCAGATTTCAAAAATGAGTTGAATGATGTTAAGAAGCCTAAACCTAAGGTGGACGGCGGACTTTCAGCTGCAGTAAATAAAACACAAAGTAAGGGAAGTCAAAAGAAGATTTTGAAAAACGAGAGTAGCGACGCGGACACCACGAGTACCAACAAGTCAGATACATTGACAAACAGTAAAGTGACTGCCAGAAAAGCTTTGAAGACGCCTGGACGCGTTAAAAACCATGATAACGGTTTTAACAATGACAGCAGGTCTTCAGGAAAGAGATCTCAACGAGCAAGGAAGAAAGATTCAAATGTTCTTTTTGGTATGATGAATTTTATATGTAAAAGCAATGATTCAACAATATTCTAACTTATTATTTTAGGAGTGTATGGGCAAAAAACCTGGGAATATCTATCTTCATGGTGGAAATACATTGTGAAATTTTTCATGTGGCTTTTCCACCTGGTTGCTGATATCCTGAGTCTTAGCATTCATCTTAGCAAGGACATGTACGTTAATATTCGTATTATTTTTAATTAAAATGTTTTATTGAATTTTATTCTTTAGAGGTACAAACTTTTACTCTTGGGCGACAATTAACTACGTGACATTTATGGAATCTACCGTGGCTATCATTAAACGAATAAAAGTGTTAACCTGGATCTATGAAAAGTTTAAAAAGGAACCCGAGAAGAAACCACCGATTTCTAATTCTGGTCTTCATAACAATATAAACATGCCAACTACTGGTGAGGAGGCTATGAAGCGACTTTTGGCCTGCAAAGGCAAGGATCCTTATAGTATCCTTGGCGTAACGCCGCTTTGTACAGACGCTGATATCAAGAATTATTACAAGAAACAGGCCAAACTTGTGCATCCAGATAAAAACCAACAACCTGGCGCGGAGGAGGCATTTAAGATACTTGTACATGCGTTTAATATGATTGGTGAACCAGAACGGCGTGCAGCGTATGACCGCGGTGTTGCGGAATCAGCGCAGGCTGAGCAGGCGATGACGGAGCTTACTGAGTTGCTTGTGCAGCTTCAGCAGAAGGTAGAAGCAGCCGCGAATACCATTCGCTGTAGTGCGTGTGGTTTACGACATAAACGCGTCAAGGTCGATAGGCCAATCTACGCTGCGCGTAATTGCGCGTCTTGTAAGATCCATCACTCTGCGCGTGAGGGCGACATTTGGGCGGAAGCTCGTTGTTTTGGTTTCCTGTGGTACTACTTTGCGTGCATGGACGGCGGCGTTTATGACATCACTGAATGGGCCGCATGCCAGAAGGACAGTCTCAAGCACCTCAAACCGGACTCGCATAATGTGCAGTACCGTATCGCACTCGGCAAGCAGGCGAACACCGGCCCAGGTCGGCGGCAACACCAGCCGGCGAATATGTCTTTTCCGAGGACGAATGACCGCAATGCAGATCTCAACAGCTTCATCAACAACCTGTATGGGCAGACGGCAGGCACGGATGCTGCACAGGCGGCTGGCATGAGGCGCAAGCCCAAAAAGACCAAATGATGCACTCATATCTTAATGTAAAACTAATTAATCTCTGTATGATCGCATGTGCATGCTTGACTTGAATTCAGTACCTAATTTAGTAGTCTCCTCGTCCTCCACTGTGGAAACGTTTTAAGTAACTCAAATCGCTTTAAATTCAATACGTGAAAATACAGAGAAATTAACGTAAGAAAATCACAATGCACCAGCGTCGAGCGGGCGAGCATCCCAAATACATAATGTGTACCTCATAAATGATAATTACACAGCAGACATAAGTGTATTTTACGAACGATTTCATTAACTATAAGCCTACAAACTTCCAAATACAATCAAATATACAGAGCAGCAAATAATTTACTTTTTTTACTTAAATATTAACCTTGCTATTTTACAAATTCATTCAACAATGTGGGATTTAATCCATCATGCCATCCAGGAAACATAAGTTAGAAGCAGTCTTCATTACTTTTTCAAAGTCTTGTTTCATCAGAGTCTTCTTTTTGGCTTGCAAGGTGCACTCAAAGGTTGCCTTGCCCAACATCTCAATGAAAAATTCCTTCAAAATTTTGAAAATTTTAGGTAATGTTGTTTTTATTAAGAGGTAACTTACAGTTGCCTTTGTAGTTAGGAATACTGCATCTTGTGTAATAAGATGAACATCAGGATCAGCCTTCATAATACGTTTAACAGTAGCTAAAGGTAACTTTACTAGTCTTACTTTTTCTGGTGTTTTATTCTCTTTGTTTTCTGAAGATGGTCCTGCTTCTGCAAAAAATTTATATAATATTTATATTTTAAATGAGACAAACTTCTCAGATTAAAAAGTCATACCTTCAGTTCCTAATTGTTCCAAATTTTCGTTATTATCTTCAAGATTTGTCATGTTGATGTTTTGAAGATGTTTGCGAACAGCAGAAATTCAAATCGGAGGGAAATAAATTGTAGGTTATAAACGCTGCTCCGTCCTTGTTCAAAGATGAATGTCAGCGCCTCTGCTGCCGAAATAAGCTAAACATATCCTAGTATGCCAGAAATGTCCATTATTCATTGTATGAAATGTATTACTGCTGTTAATTCTGGATAATTATGATTGATTATTGATCATAGAGAAAGTAATGCTGTAATTATTTGGACTAACCACAAATTGACCGAGTCATCCAGCGTGTTGTTAGTGTATTAAAGCGAAGTGCGCGCATTTAATAAGCCAGCGGAAAATTTCAATTCCATTGCACACTTAATTAATTGCGGTTTTCGCCGAAGAATCCTGTGTTGACATAAGTGTGAATAATTGTAAAGACGCCGAAAGTAGCTGAAACCGGTGTCCGTGGTGGATTATATTCCTTGCGAAGGCGGTATGTTATGGTCAGCGAAGAAGTCGCGGAGTTCTTTGGACGGCGTGTTTACATCGCTCCCGGTTGTAATTCACCATGATGAGTAATGGCGATAGCGGTGTCTTTAATTCCGCAGGTAAATTAGCGAATACTAATTTAAGTGTTGTGATGTTCAGTGTGTTATTCGCGTGTGCTACGAATGCGAAGGGTGAAATATGCTGAGTTGCTGCCGCTTGTGATGAAGATAAGCATCAGTTGTTTCTAGAATGCTCTCCATTGTTTCAGAGGAACAAGTAGACACTTGGAGATTGATTCATTATGATGTGAACCTGTGATTGACACTTAAATGATTATGGAGCCTGTGGTGCAAAGAGTAGATGCTAAATTACAACAGGATAAACCATTAAGTGAGCAAGTGGCAGCTGGAGTTCAGCACAATGAGGAAGAGAAAAAGGTGGAGGTTGATCAACCACCAATGTTTGAGGCTAGTGATGAGCACGGGTTGAAGAGAGGTATTCTTGGAGATCTGGGGCCATCACAAAAGAAAATCAAGGCTGAATCTGGGTTGGAACCATCCAAAGATGTTTCTCCTCAGGACACTAAGAATGCACAGGAGAGAGCACATGCCAATGAAGATGATGGAAAAAATGTGATTACACCTAAAGTGGAAACCAATGAATCTCAAAGCATGCCAACAGATTACTATAGCAATGGTATTCATGTACAACATCCACAGCAGCAGTTTCCTCCTCCAGCCCCACTGCAACAGCCATTTCAACACCAACATTTTCAACCATATCATAATTATATGCAACAACCACCTCCACCATCCCAACAATATAGTGCACAACAGCCACCTTTGCAGCAATATTCTGGACAACAGACAACTCAAAATCATCAACAATATGGGGAACAGCAACCAACTCAGCAACCATCGCAGCAATATAGTGGGCCACAACAATCCCAACAGCAACAACCACCTCAACAACAGTATGGTGGACAACAACCTACTACCCAGCAGTCTTTTGGTGGGGCATTTGGTCAACAACAGCATCCAAATCAGTACCCTCAGTCACCGCATCCACAGCATTATCAAATGCATAATTTACAACAGGATTATATGTCTCATGCTCATCAACAGCAGCCCCAGCAACAGCAAATGCAACATTTTACAAATCCACATCAACAACTTTCTCAGCAATCACTGCAACAACAGCAGCAGCAGCAACAACAACAGCCACCATACCCCTTACCTCAATTTGGTGGAGTTACAATAACAAGGAATGAACCTAAACCAGACAATAGTTATGATGTGAAAGCTAAACTTAAAGAAATGGGTGAAATTAGTGTGGAAACAGTGAAAAAAACAGACAAGAAAAAAGACAATGATAGTGAAGTAACTCCACCTAAAAAGCCAGGTAAGAAATCAATTGATTTGTAGTTTTGACGTTATAATAATAAAATATATTTTAAATCTTAAAACTGAAACTGTAACGATAATCGGGTATTAATTTATTATTACTATAGATGAGGAAGCAAATACAGTAGTTGAAAGAAAAGGCAATATGAGGAAAAACATCCGAGAGGTGATGGATGAAACGAAGTTAGATGAGTCTACGCTGGCTGCGCAGAGACAAGAAGTTGAAAGATTACGACGAGTGCAGGAACAACAACGATTAATACGCGATCTGCAACGACAGGCCAATCAAGATCGTGTGATGTCTTTGTTACAGGGCAATGAATTTCCATTAGGTAACGCTATTTCCCGTTAAATGTTAAACTGATATAATAAATAAAAATATAATTTTGCAGAGGGACAAGAAGGTCCATCAAGTACTAAAATAGGTAGCACAGTATTAGTTAGATTGCCAAACGGACAGCTGAAACCATCGGCAAAAGTAATCAGAAAGCCATTAGATTTACTTCACACGTCCAAATCGCCATCAACGACCATCGACATCTCACCGTCGTCGATAATCGGCCAGACAAATCTCACGCCATCAGTGAGCATTGCTCCTGTGCCGAAAAGATTCGAACCGCCGATTTTAGACGAATCGGACGAAGAACGAGATCCGCTCGCTCCGTCACCAATACCAGATTCTCACAATGAACCAGTTGATGTAATAGATTTGTCATCGGATAGCGATGATGATTGTATTGTGGTTTCCGAGACGGAGAATGACCCGGAAGAGGATGAGGATCCTACCAATTCTGGTATGCATACAAATGACGAGTTCAATCAGCCGAATGAAGAGGGCAAGGTTGTTATCAACGTTGGGCACGCGGATGACGAGCCGGATGTATATGTGGCACCGCAGATCTCGCGGATTATTAAACCGCATCAAATTGGCGGTATCAGGTTTCTTTATGATAATATTATTGAAAGTACGAAGATGTATGATACGTCCACGGGTTTTGGCTGCATTCTGGCGCATTCAATGGGTTTGGGGAAGACGCTACAGGTTGTGACATTCTCAGATACGTTTTTACGACACACGTCGGCGAAGACTATTCTTTGTATCATGCCGATTAATACGCTACAGAATTGGTTAGCCGAATTTAATATGTGGTTGCCTACAGAGGAAGATGCCAAGAATAGTCCCCTTTTGGTGCATGGCGAAGTGCGACCGCGAAATTTTAATCTTCATGTGCTCAACGACAGTCACAAAACGCTGGCTGCTCGCGCGAAAGTTATTCACAATTGGAACACGTCTGGTGGTGTTTTGCTCATTGGATACGAGCAATATAGATTATTATCTCTGAAGAGGTGTCCGAAATCTAGAAGTAAAAAGGCCCAGCAACGATTAAATGATGATGATAAAAATAAACATCTCTTTGATGGTAAGTATTAAAAATTATAATTTTGGAGCTTATTTAAAGTCTTTTCTTTTTAAATTTACAGAGGTGCATGAAGCATTGGTAACACCAGGGCCTGATCTTGTTGTCTGTGATGAGGGACACAGAATAAAAAATTCTCATGCATCCATATCACAAGCTTTAAAACAAATGCGCACGAAACGAAGAGTTGTGCTCACTGGATATCCTCTGCAAAACAATCTAATGGAATATTGGTGCATGGTGGACTTTGTCCGACCCAACTACCTCGGCACAAAAACCGAGTTCTGTAACATGTTTGAACGGCCGATCCAGAATGGGCAGTGCATTGATTCTACCGAGAATGATATTAAGCTGATGCGTTATCGCGCGCACGTCTTGCATTCTTTGCTGTTGGGTTTTGTCCAACGACGATCGCATCGAGTGCTGCAGACGGCGTTGCCTCAAAAAGAAGAATACGTGCTGCTTGTGCGAATGACTGATTTCCAGCGCACGCTGTATGAGACGTTCATGAACGAAGTGGTGCGTACACAAACTGTACCCAATCCATTGAAAGCATTTGCCGTGTGTTGCAAAATTTGGAACCACCCGGATGTGTTGTACTATTACTTGAAGAAGCAAGAGAAGGGTGGTGCTGTGGATATCGATCTGGAGGAAGTCACCACCGTCGCCACACCGGCTGTGAATTCGAAAGTGGCGAAGCCGCGCGTGAAAAAGCAAGGCAAAAAGGAAAAGCCTGCCGCATCTGTCACGCCATACAATTCTAATAACTCCACCGCCGAAAATGCATCTGCAACCACGGGCGCTGCCCCAACAACAACCCAGAATGCTAATCCTACACCCGGTAATGTATCCTCTCAGCCCAACCTTAATAACCCTAGCAACAATTTTAATCCTGCGCAAAATCACTATGCCCCTAATCCCCAATCGATGATGCCCAACACGAATAATTACCCAACGCCAAATTATAATGCGCAATCCTCGCAAATGAATAATTACCCCGGCAATTCTAATCCAATGGCAGGCGATTACCGCGCGAGCTTCAATCAAGCCCGTCCTCCCACGCAGTACGGCGCGACTTCGTCTAATCAATACATGAGCGCGCCCGGCGGCTACGCGAATCAAAGCAACAATTATCCAATGAATAATGATGCGAGGACTGCGTATCCGCCTAGGGAGCCGCATTACAATCCTAATGCATATAATACTCACATGCATATGCAACCGCAACACACACATCCACATGGACATCCTACACAACCCCATCATCCCCACCAACAACATTCCTATCAGAATAATCCGAACAATTATCCAAATCCGTATCCACATGCTCACAACCAGCAAGGACCGACATCAGGCCCGGGGCCTGGACCTGGGCCCTCGAATCAATACAATGCGATGCAACCGTATAATTCAAACCAATCAGGCTATCAAAACTATCAACACGGCTATCCCAACTATCAAAATCAAAACTATTGGAATTCTCCACAGCAACAACAGCCCTATCAGCAGCAGGAAGTGAAAACGGAGCCGTATTACAACAATTGCATGCCATACGACTCCAACAATCAATGGATTAAGCAGGAAGATGTCAAGGTGAAGCAGGAGGTAGACACAAAACCTAAGATTAACATTTTAAGCGACATCTGCATTTCCAACACTTTCGATGGACGCGGACCAGTTGCACCTGAGAAAAAGATTAACATTTTGAGTGATATTAAATTAGAACCGAAGTCGGAGTCGATTGACATCTCCGACGATGTGAAGAAGGAGAGCAGCCAAGATGATCAAAAGAAAAATGACAGTTTAGATATTAAGGTAGAGAAGACCGACTTAGATGACGATGTTAAATTATTGAGTCCTGTAAAAGTTGCCAAAGAAGATACGGGCATTCCGTACGATTGGGTAAGATAAATATTAATGTGATAGGATTAGGAGATAATTTTATCGTGTTATTCATCCCCAGGCCATCGAGTTATTAAAGGATTATGTGCCCGGGTTTATTGAAAACTCTGCCAAAATGGAGATTTTGTTTTCCATCGTCAGAGAAAGTTTGGCTCTCGGCGATCGTCTACTAGTTTTTAGCCAATCTCTTATTACCCTTGATTTAGTTGAACAATTTCTTCAAATGAACATTGTTCCAGGGGACACAGTTAAATGGGCTAAAAACACTAGTTACTACAGTAAGTTACAAGTAATTTGAAATGTTCTGATGTTTATTTATGCTGATTGCTATTTAGGGTTGGATGGATCGACTACTGCACTTGAGCGAGAGAAACTTATCAACGAATTCAATTCAAATTCGAAGGTGTATCTTTTCTTGGTTTCAACAAGAGCTGGTTCACTCGGTATTAATCTGATCGGTGCCAACAGGGTGGTTGTGTTGGATGCATCTTGGAATCCGTGCCACGACACGCAGGCTGTGTGCCGAGTTTATCGGTATGGACAACGGAAGCCTTGCTTTGTCTACCGATTGGTGGTAGATAACTGCTTGGAAAAGAAAATTTACGATCGCCAAATCAACAAACAAGGTAAATATTTAGGGAAGATTAAAAATTGCACTTGTTTTAATGTTTATTTTGATTAGGTATGTCTGATCGAGTGGTGGATGAATGTAATCCTGATGCACATCTTACAATGAAAGACGTAACTACGCTGTGCTGGGACGACGACAGGGAAACGGAAGAAAAAGATTGGTCGTATTGCAAAGACAAATACATCGACGTAGTGCTGCAAAAAGTACTGGCTAAGCACGGAAAGAGTTTCAATAAAGAACCTTTCCAACACGAGTCTTTGCTAATTGATAGAAAGGATAAACAATTGTCATCACTGGAAAAACGAATGGCGAAACGTGGCTACGAACGCGAAAAGCAGGCTGCCCGTCAGCCGAACTATAGTGCAGGTACTGGCGTAAGACACAGGCCGGTTGCTTCTGTGCGCCCGATGCAGCAAGCTGGTGAGCCACGATTATCTAAGTGGATACCGGCTGAACACTGGCAGCGCCAAGGTATGACTGCACAGGAAATGACACTTCCTTTGGATGTGGTCATTCCAACTGTCCAGCCGGATAAAGGCAAAATCGTGTTGAAGGCAGGTCAAAAAGTGTTGATATTGAAATCTCCGAAAGGAGTTTATATGCAGTTAGAGAGCGGCAAAATAGTATCGATTAAAACTGCAATCAAGGTGCGTGGAAAGGTGGACGAAGATTCCAGCAACTCTACAACACCACCATCACAACCGTCACCATCTCCACCGCCCAATATCCCATTAACTATCAAACACTCGCCGTCAGTATCGGTTACGACTACACCTCCTAAACGTGCTGTCAAACCATTTGTTCCTACACCGAGATTGAATATACGCGGTCGGGCACCAATCCCACCTCGATTGACGCAGCGACCAATGAAGAAAGTACAAATGAACAAAGCCCTTCCCGCAGCGGAGGAACACGCCATCAGCAGCGGCGATGATGAGCCTGCGGATGACAAAAGATTAAATTTTCCACATAGAGATGGAATGCCGAAGCAGTCTAGCGTTCGACGCGATGCTCCACCTCATCGGGATGTCTCTATGCGAGATGTGCGTCCGGTTAGGCACATGGCTAATCAACCACATTTCAACAACCATACCAAGCTAAGTGGAAACAAAGGTACCTCAGCATTACAGCAGTTGGAGAAGTCTACCACAGCGATTATTTCCGAATCGAAACAGCCATTCCAGGAAACTTTGAACAGTATTACCAAATCTTATCCGGACGATGAGATCAAACCAGTGAACAGCCAGCCTATTACGATAGACGATGAGCCGGAGGAGAAAACTAGCCATCAACCACAACGAGCGTCACAACCGACCCATCCTCATCCTCAGACATCGACCAAACCAAACATTCCACCTACCTCTGAGTATGGTAATCAGTACGGAAGTTACTATGGATATAACATGCAACCGTATTCTGCGCACCCGCATCCTCCACAACCACCAATTCATCCGTATGGTGGATATGCTGCACAGACCGCGCCACCTTCGTATGACATGAGTGCGTATCCTCCGCAATCTACTCAGCCTCACCAAGCGCAGCATACCCCGCATGCACCATCGACGATACAACAACCCACGTCACATCCACCTCAACAACCACCAGCACAAAACAGCCAACAGCAGCCGACGTCACATGTGCAGCAAACATCCCAAGGTCAATCGTATAACTATGGGGGATATCCGCCCCATATTTATTCCACACCTCCTCAATATCCTTCGCAGCCATACGAGTATCCTGCGCATGCCCCCCCTCCACCTGCATCACAACCCCAAACCCAAACTCAGCCCATGTACAGTACGCCGTACTCTTATCAACAGTACCCACCTCCTGGACCAGCTGCGCCGCAGCCAGTGTATTCCACGGCGCCGAATCCTTCAGTGTATAGTACCGATTACCAATATGCCAGCGCGCAAGATGCAAACGCACCACCATATTATCCGCCTCAGACGTGAATTCCTGTTTCTAAGTGATTGTAGTGCAATTTATTAGACCCAAATTAAGTAATTGGTTGGAGCCCACCTTGGTGCGCTTCTTGTATCTTTATTTACGTTATACGATTCTGAACGGTACTGTCTCTTAGTATAGCTTGAACGTGTAACCGTTTCGATGTATGCACACTTCCAACCATCGCGTTGGTTAAATTATTTATGTGGATTTAAATGATCTACGAATAGATTGAACTGATTTTAGATACTTACGTAATTATTATTGGTATTTAAAATGCGCATTTACTCACAAAACAAATTTATTCGTGCGAACAATGCGCAAATATTTATGTGTGTTTGGGATGACGCTAAACACGATAAAGTAATAAGTAAATCTTTGTAAATACAATACTTTCGGTCGTTTTTATCATCAATGTGTACAAACAATTTTGTGAGAGAACGTTATGTTATTCAAGAAAGTACGGAATCTTATTTGAGTAAAATTAAAATAAATGGAGTACCAAACCACTTGAAAATCATGTATTTAGCGGAAGTCGACACAATAATTAATATAAAATCGTTCTGTCGGCCGACGAATTATTCACGAAATTCAATGCTTTGTTTTAGAATCGACCAGATTGATGTTAATTCCTCTCCTTTGCTAGGAGGCAAATGAATGAATGTCGGTTGGATGAAAACGTGGAAAACTGAAATTTAATATGAAGTGATGCGTTTTAACAAGTAAGTATTACAGGAAGAATAATTTGGTAGGTGTGGATTGATTGTAAATTGATTTTGAAATATCGGAATTGGTTACTATATTTTATTATTGTGCAGATGTTTCATTGCAAATTTTAAGATACTCTGCTTCATCCAGCATACATTCTTTTGCTTCAGCATAATATTTCAAATCAGGCAGCAACAATGCAATGTAACCATTGCTTACAGGATGGGTCTGAATTAAATCAGGTTTCTCAATAAGAAAGTTGTTAATTTCCAATAACTTGCCCTTGAGACAACTATAAACTGGATACTTCTCACCATCATTAGTTTCAACATAACAAACAATAGATTTGCCTTCTAATTTTTGAGCACCCTTCTTTCCTTTACCTGACACTACATTTTTCAATCTATTCAACTTATCAGAAATCTCAAAGTTAACTTTTGTTATAGTCTTTTCCATAGCTGGATGATTATCTGCTAATGAAAGCATGCATAAACGATTTGAATGAAAGCTAATTCTTTGTCTAAGTGCCTCATCAATTCCCTGAATCTTTGTACAATATTTGTGTGTATAATATCTATCACTAACACTTATCAAGTCATCTAGAATTTTCTTGTCAATTGAATCAATGATTTTATACTCCATTTTGCTCTCTTCTGGCATCTTCAAGCATCATTTCCTTCACTTTCCTATGCGTTTCCTTAGCTTTCTCAGAGTTGCGTTTACGGCGAGCCAATCGTTCTTCTTTCAAACACCTTAACATTAGTGCATCAGGCCCATTGCATGCACCAAACAGCCTTCCAAATGGATTCTGTAAAATTAATTTTTTTTTAAATGTCAGTATTTACTGAATGCTTGTATGGAAATACATTTTTATGACACTGCTGTAACAAGGATATTAACTCGTTACATTTATCGGTGTGTAAATGTGGCGATAAATCGGTGTGCATAATAAATGCAGATGCTTTCTACTTATAAGAATGTTGCAAGAACAGTCAGGCAAACCCTGAACTCGGCTGAGGTTAGATTGTTAGTGAGGATCACTCAAATCGCCGTGAGATGGTGCTGCGATTGCCAATGCAATGAAAGTTGCAAGATTTAATTTCCATTGTATCCGGAAAGCTGGAAAAATTGTATTTTTTTGTTTCGAAACATTGATATTTGTTTGTTTTAGGCGTTTACAAAGCGAAGTAGATGAGAAAAAGCCGGAGAAATTAAGTTTTTGAATTTCGAAACATTGATTGTTTTGGTTTTGGGCGTCTAGCAAGCAAGATCGACCTCACAGGTCATAATTGGCAGGATATTGTAATTCCTTATCATTTTCTATAATAACTTTTATCATTAATAGAATGAAAGCCACAAAACATTTGTTTTAATGTAATGATTATTAATATTTTCTATATTTCTATTTTTTCTATTTCAAAGCGTAATCTAGAAGAATGCATATAATAGTTTATCTTAAGTTTAAGCTGCAGAGTTCTGTAACAATATCATTTTTTACCTAGTAGGCGTATGTGGCATGCAGCTAATTATTTATTGCTTGGGTGCGTCTGAGATGACAGTGTAAGTAAGTGTTGTTGTTTTTAAAAAGTTGATGTGGGTTGCCGGATCGAATCATGGTTGTTGGAATCATTTTTCTTAAATAATAAGAAATTTGCAAAATGTGTGTTGCATACTCACAGGCCATACTATCCGCGATGGGATTATCGTTTTCAATGCTATCTTGGTTCTCGAGTTCATCGTACGTGTGCTCAAAACGGTAATCGTATTTAAATACAAATTACAAATTTACTTTTCTTGTCTTCTCTTGGGCAAAGATTTCAATAATTTTGTCGTACTTTAGATTTTAAAATATCATTTTCTGTGAACATTAATGCGAAGTCATTTAAGTGCTCTTGTGAAAGACTATTGCGCAGATAGTTTTGACTCGTTTTAAAACTGAAAATGTCCTTTCTCCACTTGCATTAGAAACGGGCAAGGTCAAAAAATTTGCAGTATTGTATGTATATTTGGAAAAGTTTATGTTAGACCATTAATATCCTTAATATTCTTGTATGTATTTTAGAAAATGAGTTAACTCATCAGTGAAATATTCTGGCTCAAATCTTTTTTCATACTTAAGACAATAATCGCTCTACACAATTATTAGTCTCAACACGGCTTAATTTTAAATCAAAGAAAATTTTAAAATCGTTAAGAACTTTGATATAGACATCGCCCCTTCGAGTAATTTCTGATGTTAATACATCACATACAATATAAAAAATGTTGACAATAAAAACATTTCTTGACGAAAATGCTGTAGGTATCATTTTTGTTCGTTTCATCATATGGATATTTGCGTTTTCTTTCTTTCGTCTCATTTAGCCTCCTCTTCAACAGTTTCGAAATTATTTCTGACCTCTGTTATAAATTCGTTTAATGATTTTAATAAACTAACACTATTAAGAATATTTGTCTTTGGTTCCTGTAAGTATTTGCTGGTAATTTCGATTCTCTGTAGGAGTTTGTTCCAGAAAATTGTTAACAGTGCCGTCTCAAATTGATCGAACTCTTTTGATAATTTTTTTGCTTCTAATTTTGAAATTGGTTTTTCATTTTTTTTCATTGATAATTGAGTCTTAGGGCTAAAACAGCGTCAGCTCTTGCGGACCATCGAGTATCAATTATTCTCTTGATACTTTTAGAATTCTTATCCTTCATGCATTCAGTTAAAATATTCCACCGTCTTGTAGATGCAGCAAAGAAAGTTATATATATTGCAAAACATAAAATACTGTAATGCTCCAGAACAAGATTCCGCTGCAGTATGCCCAGCCAAATTTAAAGAATGACTTCCACATGGTATGAATTCAGCTGATTTGGAATGTTGTTTTATGCGTGCCTGTAATCCACTGTACTTGCCAGACATGTTAGCATCGCGGTTGCTTTGGCAGTTAACAGGCATCAAAGATGTACAAATTTTGATGTCAAATTCGTTTACTTAGGAATCTCAATTTTTTCATATTACAGTAGAACCTTGATAACTCGAATGTCAAGGGAAACCAAAAAAAAATCGAGATAGCAAGTTTTCGACTTAACAAGAATTTCGAGATATGAAGAGTTAACTCATCAAATTTTGACATAAAAAGGCACAATTTCATAGAATATTTATTACGACAAATTACATTAGGTAACATAAAATGAGAGTCAAGTACATAATTATAATGAATGAACTTACACTGTATGTTTTAAATAATTGATAAAAAATCTGTTATCTTCGTTTGATTCAAGCCATTTACAGATTTTTCCTATAACCAACGGTTTAAGTTTTTCAGTGCCTGTTATATTTGTTGCTTGCAATATTGTTAATCGCTCTTTACTGTGCTTCCCACAGTAAACACTTGAAAAAAAGGCCAGTCTCATCGGCATTAAATACGTCTTTTGGTTCATAATCTTTCAATAAACTCTGCAACTCAATATGCCACTCATCACATATCTCATTATTGACACTTGCACTTTTGAATTCATTCCTTGCACTTGTGCAAAACAAAAACAATAGATAAGAGGCCCCGAGCCCCGAACATTCCTTTTTGATTTTATTGCCACTAGTTTTGAGCTCCGGGAATCCCGAGTTTTGAGCTCCGGGAATCCCGAGTAAGAAATCATAAAATTTTATGAACTTCGACTTACTGAGGTAGTATTTGCAGTTCGAGTTACTGAGTATTAAAATATACGAGTAATGCCTCACAGGGAAATAACTTATTGTTCGAGTTACTGAGTCTAAAAATTCAAGTTAGTGCGTCGTTCGGGGTTCAGCGGAAGGGAATAGCATATCTTTTCGAGTTACTGAGGATTACGACTTAACAAGGTTCGAGTTATCAAGATTCTACTGTATATTCATAACAGTATTATAACATGCGCTGCTCATTGGGAGACGCTGGTATGGTTTCAACCTCTCGCCAGATACCCCTAAACTATAATATTTTGTATAAATTATACTTATACTTCTTCTATTAATCATTCCATTTTTTAAACTCAAATGTACTCCTGGGACATCATATCTCCCAAATGTTCCTGTAAGTATTTGCTGGTAATTTCGATTCTCTGTAGGAGTTTGTTCCAGAAAATTGTTAACAGTGCCGTCTCAAATTGATCGAACTCTTTTGATAATTTTTTTGCTTCTAATTTTGAAATTGGTTTTTCATTTTTTTTCATTGATAATTGAGTCTTAGGGCTAAAACAGCGTCAGCTCTTGCGGACCATCGAGTATCAATTATTCTCTTGATACTTTTAGAATTCTTATCCTTCATGCATTCAGTTATATATATTGTTATATATATTGCAAAAACATAAAATACTGTAATGCTCCAGAACAAGATTCCGCTGCAGTATGCCCAGCCAAATTTAAAGAATGACTTCCACATGGTATGAATTCAGCTGATTTGGAATGTTGTTTTATGCGTGCCTGTAATCCACTGTAGTTGCCAGACATGTTAGCAGCGTTATCATAAGATTGGCCCCTACAGTTTGTGATATCTAAGCCATAATCATGTAACTTTCTAAGTACAATTTCTTCTAACGACTCACTGACCACTCTCTGTTTTTTTTAATCCAACTACCACCCCAAAAATCTAGATAAAAATTGTAGGAGGATAAACGTTGGTACAACGTGTTCCGCAGATGTGAAAAAATGATAGAAAGACGAATTAATTAATATTCCAAAAAAGAGAGTTACCCGCTATTTTACAACCTCAATGGAATATTCCTCAACTCATCTCCTCCACAGATGTTCGAAATTTAAAAAAATTGGCAATATACAGTAGAATCTTGATAACTCGAACCTTGTTAAGTCGTAATCCTCAGTAACTCGAAAAGATATGCTATTCCCTTCCGCTGAACCCCGAACGACGCACTAACTCGAATTTTTTAGACTCAGTAACTCGAACAATAAGTTATTTCCCTGTGAGGCATTACTCGTACATTTTAATACTCAGTAACTCGAACTGCAAATACTACCTCAGTAAGTCGAAGTTCATAAAATTTTATGATTTCTTACTCGAGATTCCCGGAGCTCAAAACTCGGGATTCCCGGAGCTTAAAACTCGTGGCAATAAAATCAAAAAGGAATGTTCGGGGCTCGGGGCCTCTTATCTATTGTTTTTGTTTTGCACACGTGCAAGGAATGAATTCATTCAATAAACTTTCTAATTTCTAAGAAACACAGATGTTATGTTTCTTCATTTTTGGTCACTTTTGGTTACTTGGCTCAGTCAGTACATATTTGTTTGGCTGTTAACAAGCAACAACATGAGTACAATACAGCAATTGATACACTACGAACTTACATTGAAAGATGTAATGATATCGAGTATCATATATTCGGTTCACTATATGAACTAGAAAAAATAATTGATAAAAAATCTGTAAATGGCTTGAATCAAACGAAAATAACAGTTTTTTATCAATTATTTAAAACATACAGTGTAAGTTCATTCATTATAATTATGTACTTGACTCTCATTTTATGTTACCTAATGTAATTTGTCGTAATAAATGTTCTATGAAATTGTGCCTTTTTATGTCGAAATTTGATGAGTTAACTCTTCATATCTCGAAATTCTTGTCGAAAACTTGCTGTGAGTCACAGGAATGACGAAAGTCAAGAGAGTATAGGACAGGATTTTAAAATTATTTACAGTTTAAGACTAAAGTATAATTCTAAAGTATAATTCCTACTTAATTCAGAGAACAGGCCACTTAGGGTAAAAGAGGGTAATGGGGGTCACATAAGGAAAAACTCAAATATAATTTCAATTATAAACAAAATACTTATTGCAACCACCTATAAGCATTGTTTACTTATAAAACTATTATTTGATATAATTTTCAGCCACTTTAACAATTAATTTTGGATATTATTAAAGTTTAAAAAAAAAACAGATTTGACTCCCATTACACCGACATGCGGGTAATGGTGGTCACCCTAGGGACAATCGGAATCAAACGAAATCTAGCAGATATCGCAGACATAATATTCCGCTAAGTCCCACCCAGTGCATTCCACATGAGCCCATAGCCCACATGAGGTGCATCTGAACCACATTTCATTGTTTTTTTAAAATAGTTGCACATTAGACATCTCTTTTCCAAATTTTCATCCTCATTGCCCTGGCATAAGTCATCAGTGCCAATATTGGAATCATAAGTTTTGTTACTTTCCTGCAATAACTTTTCTGCAAGATGGCTATTGAAAAATAAGTCACATTGTTTTTTGTAGGCCATTTGGAGCGGGCTAAAGACAGAAACGTCCATTGGAAGTCGCATGACTCCCATTGTCCACAATTACACTATTGTGAAAAAGAACAAAAAAAAAATATTTCTTCAAAACATTGATGAAATCTGAACTGCACATCACGATTTTGAATATTTAAATAAGACTATATAAAAGTTTCATTCGAATATTGCAAGATATTCGCCACTTATCTTCTAATTTGCGTTGCCGTAAAATTAGATCAGCGGAGCTCAATCTACCTCAATCTTATTTGACATACCTAATCATTTAATAATACTTAGAATAACTCATTTGTCGTGTTTTTCAAAATAGAGTTTATCAAAACATTTAGTAAAGTAGTGGGGGTAAACACATAAATAGGGAATCAAAATTGAGGATAAATTGGGATTAGACATAATTTTAGTTCAGTTCACAATTTCTTCGCCTGAAGAGGAAGGCCTAGCCTTCGAAATTCGCATCGCGACTATACAATAAATTGTAAGACGTTGTTTGTAAACTATCCATTAGTGTTAAATACTCATAGTGCAATCAAATAGTGAAAATTAAACATTGATCATATTAAAAAAAACATATAACTACAAACGCGCCACAATTGGTCGCCATACATATGACCTCATAATGTTAAAACAATTCTACATTACTAAAGGACCACCAGCAGTAATACGTGAAATGTTTAAAAAATCAGAAATTTAGTGCAAAAAAAGTATTTATGACAACTAATTTTATGAATAGTCTAAGAGCCCGTGGCGGCCAGATCTTCGTCATTTTAGCAGAGTTGAAAATTTTTCTGTGTGTTCCCAACACGAGTAAGAACGATTCACAATTATGAAGCAATTATGAAATGAATTATGCATTATGGATCGCGGTTGCTTTGGCAGTTAACAGGCATCAAAGATGTACAAATTTTGATGTCAAATTCGTTTACTTAGGAATCTCAATTTTTTCATATTATATTCGTAACAGTATTATAACATGCGCTGCTCATTGGGAGACGCTGGTATGGTTTCAACCTCTCGCCAGATACCCCTAAACTATAATATTTTGTATAAATTATACTTATACTTATTCTATTAATCATTCCATTTTTTTAAACTCAAATGTACCTACTCCTGGGACATCATATCTCCCAAATTTGAGTTTAATACAATCTTTGAAGCGGTTATCAAAGACCGCCTAAGCTGTGTGAATCCAATTGGGAAGTTGAACAAACCTCATGCATAGTATGCGATTCGGCCAAGAGGATCCGGAAGACAGGAACCAGCGTGACCAGGCGATAGAAAGATGCGCCTTGCAAAAGGCAATAAAGGAGTGCTATATACTGAGTGATAGCCAGACTGCCCTAAAGCAGCTAAAAGCAAACACATTTGACTCTGAGGTAGTCTGGCAGTTCAGGAACACTATAAAGCAAATAAAAACGAGGCAACTCGTTAGTCTGTCTATGATGGACATAACAACTATGACTGGGATACAAAAGGGCACTGCCAGGTGACACAAAAGTGGTAAGGCAGACAGTGTCTCCTTCAGATTATGTGGGACGGACGATAAAACCGCTGTGCACATAAGTGTCCAATATTATTGCGCGACAGACATGCTATTGCTGGAATTGAAGATCAGATTCAAGATCAGCGCAATAAGCCTCTTATACAGATTCCTGACTTTTTCAGGAAAGACGAGTTCCCATCGAAAAAGTAAAAGCAGGGTAACAACCAATAGATCGCAGTGCAGAAAGGCAAACTCAAGCAGCCAATCGATCTCTCCATACTTTACAATACAAAGTTCTTTGCAGAATTAAAACAATAAACATTTACGAAATTACATGTGTATCGGATATTTTAGAAGAAGAGCAAGTATAGAAAATAAAAAATATATAAGTTGGAACAACGCATACAATCATAAGTTTTGATATAAAATGCAATTGCATTACAACCGATATTGTCTACATAGCTTTGCAAATCACAAACAAAGACAACATTATAATATTTTTCTACTTCCACCTTTAAAGCGCCAGACCATGTCACCATGTGATTTCGACGGGCAGCAATAGTGCATTGTTTATATTGTTTATAACCACTATCAGGATATCAACATATATTGATAACATGAAAATATTTCAAATGATCTATATCGGATTTCCACGGTATGTTTCATAAAAAAATAGAAATTAGCACGTTTTGGGGGCGATTTTCAGGCAGTTCCCGCGACATCTCAGAAGGGGGCAAAGATGCATCGTTTAGTAAATCTCGTGCTATTGAAATATGTAGATAACATGAAACTACGGTTACCAACGTATTCACTATCGAAAATCCTTTGTCAACTTTTCGTTATAAACAAGAGATTAGTTAGATCATTTCGCGAAACATTGAAATGCATCTGCGTACCGTTGGGCCTCAGAATGTATATTAATTTCAATCAATATTGGTGAGTCCAACATTCGAAAACATACATAGGAAATTAGTACATACATTTCACAAATGATAAATCATTAGAAAATCACCAGACACGCCATAAAAGTAAATACTACCAATAGTTGATAAAATATAGCACGATTTATAGAATTTAAAAACAAACGAGGCTCGCGCACGAAATGAGAAATGCAAACCGGCAATACAGCGACGGCACAGGTAATCTTTACTTGTTGAAATATTTCTAGGTAAATAATTGACTTGCTGCGCCACCTAAAAATACTTTCCAATCACATCACACATTATGTCGTGGTGACTTGTCCCTTACATTTAAACGACGTACACAAATATGTAAATATTGTATCCTGAAAAGTACGAATTTTAAAGTACAAATATTGAATTTACATTGGGTAAATAACTGTGTTCAAAATTAGAACACAAAGTTACCTTGTAATCCGACAAATTACAAATCCTAAAGTACAAATATATGGCATATGACCATGTCGGATTACAAGGTGTGCTGGATTAAGTCGGGTCCGGATAACCGGGAATCCACTGTACCTTCATAAAATAAATATTAAGGGTTGCTAAGGGTAATTGGAAAATACTGAAAGACCATCAAGATGAAAACCCACGTTCCGATTGTATAACGCTTTTACAGAAACGCCAAAAAACTAGCGTTTAACATTTTATACTTTTGTTTATTAGTACTTCGTATCACCTATATTTCTCACAGAAAAAAATTGATCAATATACATTCATTAAGAACATTTGTATAATGGTTGTGTTATTCTGTGTATAAAGAAGTATCAAGTTATAAAAGTGTTATCTTTCGCTTAACTACTATTCAATTAATCACCGGATTCATATTACAGAGTCCCCATAGTAAAGTAAACGTGAAGTAAACAATGTAATGTTAACTCTGACCAAATTTATAGCACGCAATTTGGTATCACAAAAAGAAAGCAATTGTTTGAACAAACACCTAACACTATAGAAACATGCATTCTGCACCATACTGAAAGTAATACTTAAATTATTTTCATATTTGTAATGTAGATGAAAAAATGATGTTTCTGTGTGCCAAGTGAATACTAAATCACTGGTATTACTCGCTAGGAACTACGCTAAACAAAAAGATTAAGTTTTGATACATGATTTATGAAGCACTGGATCAACATGCATTAGATATCAATGGGGAAAATGTTTTCATCCTTCTTGCTTTCCTCTGGATTATTGTTGTCCATATCTGAGGATTGCTTCTTAAAGCTGTTAGTCTTCGATTCTCTCTCCTTCTCACCCTCGGACACTTCGCTCTCACTATGACGACGCTCATTTGCGCGCTTTTTATTGCGATTCTTCCTAAGGTTCTTCTTCTTTTGTCCCAAAATACTTGAATTCGATCTGTAAATTATGTATACATATATTTAACAATATGTTCAACATTATCATTATTATTAAGAAATATATTTGATAAATAAAGATTAATATAGTTTGGTAAAAGGTCTAATTGGAATGCCCATTAAAGAGGATTATTCAGGGATCAAATCACTAAAACAAAAGAATAGTTAGTAAGCATGTGCAACTACATACCTAAAAAGTTGCCGTAGCACGTGATTATTAAAACGGACGGTTTTCTTCAAACTGGTCGATGGTTCACCTTCCTCCTCATGGATGACAGAGTCTTGGCTAACCGAGTAACAATTCTCGAACGAAGATGTCCAAGTAAAATCATCAATGCTGGATTCGGAAATACTGCGGCTAACGGAGCTCCTGGAAGAGACAGACATTCTCTTCAAGATCCCTTTGTACTTGGGACTGTAACTATTACAGCTCATGTCGTCCCCGGACGATTCGGAATAAGAACCCATAATATCAATCGCCTTTGTCTTGGGTTCTGGATTCAAATCCACGGTGTCGACAATTTTATTCGCTTTTTGTACTTGAGGTTTTGTTACTGCTCTGTCAATAGTCGGACGTTGTCGTTCCTCTTCAGAATCATGTTGCTCATCGTCCGGGTCATCGTCCACATCCAATTCCGGTGCGATGAGCTGCTTCCCATCAACAGATTTTTCTTCTAAACTATCCTCGCAAACACCCACCAAATAAGAGGTGAGTTCCTTATTGCAAGGAGTAAAAGCAATTTGTACCACGACATTGTTGTCCCATGTTTCAATTGTAGTCGCCTCAGGATTGACGAAATGGGCAGGCAGCTTAACATAGAAAGCGTAATGAGCTGGAAAGTGACCCGCACTAATGCTCGTAAATTTCAAGTGAAGGGCGGTGTTAGCGTCGTTGAATATTTTTTCGATGGTGCTCTCATGTACGTTTTTCACCGACAGAGTAAATATTAGATTCTCACAAAGGTGGCATGTATATTCAGGTAAAGTGTATTCAATTGAAGAATCTAAAAAGGCAGTCTTTTCAACTTCAGGAGGCGGCGTGGATACCTTTTCCCTTGGTGGTGAGATTGATCCATGATCACTCTCCACACCGCTATCTTCTCTCGCATAATCATTAATTATCCTGGTATTCCTCTTCACGGGTAGGGTGACAATCAGTTTCTTGGTATCCTTGTCAAATTTTGCATTGCCAGATGCCTCCTGTACTTTGTATGGTAATGTAATGGAAAGTTTGTACTTGGCTGGTGTCTCACTTTTAAGTTGTACTGTCTTTTCAGTAACATCCAGATCAATATCTGTGGCTGCCTTTAACAAAGGCAGACATATTTCTACCACCAACTCCTTGGGAATGGCGGAATTCATTTTGGCAGATCTATCATAGGTAAAGTTTTCAAGTTCAATGTGACTTCTATGTTTGATTTCATATTTGGGTGTTGTATATTTGGACTTTTCTTCAGTGGAATTTTTTCTGGGCCTTGAGGGTTTAGCCTTAGGTGCTTCAGCAACTTTAGGCATTTGCTCAAAAATTTTGTTCATTATTTCACTTTCTTCACTTGTACTCTTATTCTGATGGTTGTCAATTTGTTTCCTAATAATGGTGGGTCTTGCAATGCCCTTGAACTTCAAATTTGGAAATTTCAAGTTTTTCATATCCAATTTACAGTCAAAGTTATTCTCAACTGCATCACATGCAGTCTTATTGACCATATTCTTAAATGCTGGATTTTTCAGTGCAAGATGCAATGTATCAGGATGAAAAACCACATCAAATACCTGACAAACAATCTTCTTGTTGTCGATGTCTTCACGAGGAGGTGCCAACGAATGCGGCAGAGTCCACTGCAATCCCTTAGCACCGTCCTGATACGTTGGCTTCGACGAAGGCTGACCAATTCGTTCACTGGAGCACACGTTGACAAAGGCTTTTTTACTTCCATTCACACTTGTCTTGATGACATAACCGGGTTGGGGGTTGATGAACGTAACATCTACTCCGCGCTCGCGTTCCAATTGTGTCAGCTCCTTTTCGAAAATACGCCGGTTTTCTGGATCGTTCACTTCGGTCACGTAGTCACTAAACAACTTGCGGAATTCTTTGTCTTTTAGCGCCTCGCCGATGCGATCGATCTCGTCACGGGTCAAGTCGAGATCTCTGAATGAGTCGAACGATGTTTTCGCCATCGCGTCTTATCTGCGCGGATTTTTCTACACGAAACTGATTAATTTAACCGATTGACGTGCTAGACAAATTGAATAATATCGCGGGTTGATTGTTATGACGGCGTGCTATGATTTGGGCGAGTTAAAGTTGGATCGGTATCGTTGCTGCGACGTAGAAAATAAACACTGTTTTCAGTTGTGTATTGTACGTGTGTTGGGAATGTTATGTTGGGGAACGGGTTCACGTGGACGAATCAGCCGGCATTAGCGCACACGCAGAAGATGCCGGCCGGTTCCGCACACACGCACATCGTGTCGCCTAGCAAAAGGCGCTAAATTTGAAAATTCTAGGTCATTGCTATGCCGGCTTCGTTGGCGTGGCGACTGGGCTCACATCATTCCGTATTTATTTTCAAACCAAGTGGAAGAAAAACACGAGAATAAAAACATTTTTATGCGGAACACGGACAACCTTCACATCTAGCAATCGTGACCTCTCGCCGGCATCATCTGCATACTGAAAACACATCTCTTCTTTTCACACATCGTAGAAAAAATATCCTACTTTGTTCCGTCAACAGAACTACTAGTTTTCAACTTGTTCTTGTACAGTAATCATTAAAAAGAAACCAAAAACCAAACTAAGCAAACATTTTAAAAATAACGCGCAGGTTCGCCATTTTTAAACAAAGTAATATACTATTCCATACAGCTTTTCACACAAACTATATCTTTATTATTTAATTTTAGACACAAAAGATTTCATTAATAAATTTTATTCTATCCTGTATAAAAGATAGTTTTACTCTTCGAAGTTGTGCCTTGGCAAGCTGACCAACGCGGAAGATAAATATTTTTGACATAACACATTACTCCAGATTTATATAGCCGGCTGAAAACAAGGCGAGCGTTTACGATATTTGGCGTCATTTCAATTATCCAATTGAGCAGATTGGATTATCGCACTCGCAGCATTATGCGAGCGAAATGAGCTAAGCGGTTAATCATCTAAATTGGGGCAGCGTGTTTTGTTTATCTAATCATTTAACCACCTACGTGTCCAAATGCACCATATGTGAATTTGATACGATGAAAAATTATACCAGTAGTGTTATTGCTCTCTTTGTTCTGATAAGAAAGCAGGGGCACAATAACAAACCATGCGATTGTTGCGCTAAAAATGTACTAACCAAGTAGCGTGTACTTGTGCCTTCTCACAGTCAGCGATATTTTCACTTACACAGCTTTCGGTTTCTAACTGGTTGGTGTATTTTTATTTATAGCAAGTGCACAATGTACTCATGAACAAAGTACATCAGTAGTGAGTAAATCACTAACCTTTTGGTATACTAGAACTGCCAAAAGCTCATAAATGCAAACGTTTTTATTATTTTTAATGCAAATCTAGCTAAAAATGATAAATACGTTTCAAGGTTACATAATATCATGCAAGCCAGCCCATAAAAAGAGATGACATATTATTTATAATTTATTATGACTGAAATAAATAAGCATAATTAGAATTTAACATAATAAGCAAGTTTTTTACTGTAAGAATTATTACACAGATCATTTTTAATACTGGCAAGGTCATGTGCGCTCATCGTATTTTATAATTTGTTTACCATCATAAATATTTAAATAGCAAATTTAATTACACGCGCATTGTTCTGCCTTTATGACTTCAGCTGCATAATAAAATCAACAACTTCAATCGGCTGATAAAATTTTATTTTTAGTTATAGATAACTTTTTTAAAAAACGTTTTGAATACTTTCAACGGTACTTCACGTCGACTATCATGAATACAAAAATCAACAACAAACAGTTTAATTAGTATTCATATCACCGATATAACTTGTTATCGACTTGTTTGTTTACAGTTTTGAGTTGGCGTATCACCTAGGCACACTAAAGACGATACACGTTTTGCAAACTTTGTATAATCAAGTTAAATATTTAATGTCAATAACAAATATTTATGGATCATGTTTGAATATTTTTTTGACATGTGAACATTTTTAAAAAATGAGTAGTTCTGTATGAAACGTGAGGATAAGTAGAAATAATGTAAATACGCTTATAACTTTCACTGTGAAATTATGTGAAACTACTAGTTATATGACATTTCTTATAACTTCTATCAAAGTTCAATTACTGCTCTCATCGTGTAGGAACATCTTTCTAGTTTCTGATGAAATAAAGCATAACTCTGAGAAATACGCAAACGCCGAGCAACTTCTAGAAATCTACGTTTTATTTTTAAATCTAAAAATAAATCGAATAAAAGCTTGTTTTTCTTGTCATTTGAAGTTGAATTCATTTTAATTTTTTTATCGTTTTGACCTAAAATTCTCACAAATCTTATGAGTAATCAATTGCACTCACATGTTGATGCGTGCAAAAAATCAATGAGGCAATCAATAATCACCGTGTCAGGTAATAAAACCGTGCAGTAGAAACTAAAACGAATTAGTATCCAATGCGTATGATGTGAAGCAATCGAACGAGTTATTTTATAATTACATAACGTTTAGAACGTGAATGTTAAACCAATATTGAAAAATGTTCTCTTCTCCTCAATCCTGTAATCTGTTTCTAATAAAATGCCAGGTTCAAGCGTGTAATCGGGTGCGCCAACAACACTAGACGATGTCTTGCAAATCAAAGACGTAACAATCCGAGATTGGAATACATAATGGCCTCATGCATATGCATTGCCATTTTGAAGATGCGAACTCTTCTACGAATCCATTCCCTTACTTAAACTTACTACAACGTGCGGCAACAGCAAGAAGAAGGTAAAGTAAAGGAAATGGCAACCGGCGCTAACATTTCATTATCTGCTTCTTTCGATTTATGTGCGTTATTTCGCTAGATGACTTTTCGGCGTACAGTTCAGTCTCGACACGTCGTTGTGGAAATATCAACGACTATGATTATTACAGTAGAAGTAGTTAGTTGTCTATCGCAACAAACGAAATTTACAATAAAATAAAGTTTTAAATTTACCTCAGGCGTGCGATACCGTGAGTGCAACCTTACCTTTCACCTTTTTATTTTTAAAGGTTTTATTGTGTGCGGTTTGGAAGAGCAGCATCAGATCAACGCTGCATACCGGTCCGATGCGTCATGCGTCCGCGCGCAAAAGTTGCAATAATCACCAGCGTGTGTGCAATAACGCTAATTGTCGTGTGTGTAAATGTGAAAAGTGCCAGTTATAGCACCGCACCACACGCGTACGATGTGCGCCGCGACGCGTTAAGAATAAGCAAAAACAATGTGATTAAAGTGACGCCGGCGAGTCTGCTGCGCGATGCAGGCCTGGCGCCGTATAAGCACGTTACAAAATCGTTGGCTGAATTGGGTAAAATGGACGAAATAAGTAAGCACATTGTTTTTGTGAACGCAGTACCGAATTCAGGCTCTGAAGTACTTGTTTTGCTACTGAAGTGGCTACAAGGGTGGAACAACTTCAAACATATTAAATTACAAGGTTCCAAGAAAATACTGAGCAATATTGAAATCGTAAGTAGAAATATTATTAATTCTTATATCTGGTGTGTTAAAAAGTAAAATTTAACACAGTTTAACACACAAATGCTCTGGTTAATATGCTAAACACTTTTATTTGATGTTAATTGATGAAGAAAGAATGGCGGCTCCGGGTGGCACCCATGATTGTTTATTTATAAAACATACGTACGATTGTTTTACGGTGTGTGAAACCGCTCTAATTTATTATTGTATTATGAAGGAAGAATTCGTCTACAATACGTGCGATATCATCCGCGACGAAGCAGTTCCCACCAGCATTGATAGAATGATTTATTTTGTGAATTTCACGCGCCACGACCGGCAATCACCTAGTTATGTCAATTTAATCCGTGATCCAGCGGATTATGTGCTATCAAGGTACAAGTACAGAAATGTTAGTGGTGCTATTACAAGATTAACTTTTGTTTTCTGTTAGATTTCATCATTTAATGCAAAACGATGCATTGAAACATTTGAAAACGTCTAAAGACATCGAACGTTGCATAATGGACAAACAAGATGGCTGTCAATTCATAGATAACAAAAATGTTGATTTGGCTATTCCGTACTTCTGCGGACAACACGAAAATTGTCAGTAAGTATTATATAAAGACTTACTTTTATGTGTTTATATCTAAAATTTTAATATTTATTAGGCGTTTGAATAATGTTTGGGCTTTAAAACAAGCCCAGCGAACAGTAGAAAAATACTACGCCACACTGGGCGTCCTCGACGAACTGAACGCCACGCTTGAAGTACTGGAACACGAACTTCCATACTTCTTTAAAGGTGCCAGTAAACTATATTATCGAGATTTATTACGTGAGTTAATTTTCTTACACTTCTAACTTTATAAACATTGATACGTGTTCTTTTGTTTTTGCAGCGTCGGGAAATCAGCGCAGAAAAACACAACGTGCGAGCAACGCATTCAGAAAACGCATGAAAATAACGTTACATAAAGAATACGAGTTTTACGATTGGGCAAAGAGTCGCTTGTTCCGACAATTGCAACTTATTTACGGCCACTAAAAGTGTTTTCCTGTGTGTGCTGCAAGTAGTGCGCAGCAAACAAACAAAAAGTGATATTCTTACACCGTCAGAATTGTGCGAAGGACATCGAATGTTTGCGGAGTGGAATCGTGAACAAAAAAATGTTCAAGCCAAATGAAACGATGCAGATCATGACGACAGTATTACGCAAACCAAAGAATAAATGCGTTTTTTTTATTTAACAGTGCATGCTTAAAAAGAAGAAAACCATGTTCAAATAAAGGAAAACCATGATTGGTATCAAAACCCTTAATCATTTCTTCTTTGCATCTTTCAAGCCAGCACCAGCGTTGAATTTAAAGAAGATAATATCACCATCCTCGACGGTATAATTTCTTCCTTGCTGACGATACTTGCCCGCTGCTTTTGCAGCCGCTTCAGATCCCTCTTCTTTGAAATCGACGAACTTCATCACTTCGGCCATGATGAAACCTTTTTCGAAGTCAGTGTGAATTCTACCCGCAGCTTGGGGCGCCTTTGTGCCTTTCTGTAATACAACAGCCGTTTAATAATTTATACCCGTACACAGCAGATGGCCCCACTAGTATATACTATTCGTCTCAAAACAATCAGGTAATTCTAAGATATCAAGTCGTCTGTTGACTTTATTACCTGTACAGTCCATGCCTTGACTTCATCTACTCCAGCCGTGAAGAAGTACTCCAAATTAAGCGCCTTGTAGCCTTGTACGATAATTTTTTCAAGCGCGCTGTGTGTTTGGAAATTGTACCAAGAACAAAATAAAGAATATTGAAGAACGTGAGGTGCACAGGCGAGAGTTATACAATTACATATCTCAAAATATGGCTCTCAATTATACTTTTTTTAAAACTTGAATTGTTTCGATTTGAAGACACGGAGAATTGTTATTACGCTGAAAATTATAGGGTACTTGATGAATATTGCGCGCGTTTGTTTCGAGATGAATTCATCGAGAGCAGTAAATTTTGTAACAAAATTTCAATTGTTACCAGCCTATAATTTGTTCACGCGCTTCGATCTATCAAATTTCTGGTTTGTCTGGAGACAGACCATTAACTCAGATACGATGGCCTATTAAAAATCGCAATTGGTCTCTTCGCAGACGCGTCGCCAGCGTCCTATTTAAAGACGTCAGTAATAAATACGCCACAATAGAAGCAACTTCCCAAAAATCATTGATGACTCTTAATGATAATAATCGCTGCCCGGTGGACGCCGTAGAAGCCAAGCCCAGCCCGTCTCTCAATAAGCTCCCATTCAGTTTTATTTAATTTCGTTTCAATTTGATATTTTTTCTTTTTTTGTGCCCGTGAATGACTTTTCGGTCGGCGCTGCGAGACGACGCCGTACCGAACATAAAGTCTGCTCGGTCCGGGAACCTGTAATTACGCCCGTAATTCCGACAAACGTGCTTAGCCTTTAGATGGAAATGTCATTTGATTGCCCAACCGTCCGTGGCCTCACTTAATAGCGTTAGGAGGTCCCCGTGCGCCGTGCACCAGAGTGAGACTCGAGAGCGCATCTTCAAGGAAAAACACTACCCAACAACAACTATCAATGGACAAATTAAATACGTTACCTCGTCGCTTTGTTATCCTCCATGTATTTCTTCGCTTCGGCCTCGTCCATCTCAACCAATTTCTGCTCGAACACACCTGAGAACGGGATGAGGATGGAGCCGGGATCGTTTTTGTCAACCCATTCTTTGATCTTGAGCAACCTAGAATCAACCACAATCGTAGATTCAATCTGGTGCAAATGATCAAATCATCGCCATGCACCATGCATCGCCATGAGAATATGGTTATCGCGATGAAAACTAAGCATAAAATGAGAGGACATGCGTGTAAATTTAACAATAAACAAGGGTTGGCCACATGCCCATTAAATTTCTTCGTTGAAAACACGAAATTATTAATGATCGCGCCCCAAACCTGCCACATTATAGTAAAATCAGGTATAAAAAGAACACAAACACATTATGCGTGTGCACTGTATAAAATTTTTGATCCATTTACGAAATGCCGTGACAAATCTCAATCACGACCAACTTGTGTTAATGAAAAGCCGACCAAAGCAACTGAAAAAAATGCTTTGTTGGTTTTAACCCCTCGCAACGCTGAATCAACAATCGGCAACTTCTGTATGCGTGCCAAACTTGTATACAAAAAAAAGCCACACCGGTGCGCTCTCATTAAACGCGCCCAATTCTTTTTCATTATCAATCATCAATCGGCGGACGATTGAATCGCCGCACTTGACGTCGGTACAAGATCAAAGCAATCAGGTCGGTATTATTGCGATTGCGCGCTGTCTAAAGGTAATTAAGTTCGGCATGTGTGTATCATCCGCGTGGCTTATGTGCAGGCCCATCATTGTGCGACGGGTATGACCGCGTCGGCAACCGAACGCATTGTCCCCACAAAGAGTATTGTTTGGCGCGCTCGCCATTACCGTCGATGAGATGGCGCGTTTACGAAAACCCCGAAAGCAGCGCAACGTGCCGATCGCCGCCAATCACTTACCATTTGTTCTTCTTCTTGATGTAGTCCTTCTCCGACAAGTTGACCAAGTAGATGGCCGGCTTCGAGGTCAGAAATAGATGCTTGTTCAACACCTCGATCTGCAAAACAATACTAACAATAACAATCCAATCACACACCACCAGCGGAGCAATAAATAGATCTGACGCGGTTGTAACACCGATTAAAGACGTTGTTATTAATGATCCCGTGACAACACGCTGCGGACATGCAGGGGTCGTTTATGAGATTGACATCGTGTCAGTGCCCGCAGCGGGACGCACACCTTCAACGAGACGGAACATAAATGTAGCGGTGATGTTGCACAAATGGCGCTACATGTTTTCGAATATTATGATAATTTTACACCTCGTGTATCAAACACTTACATCCGCGGCGCTCCAGTCGTGGAAACGTATGTGCTGCTTCTCGTCGACGAGAACTCCCTTGATCTTCAGCAGCGCGTCCTGGAACAAATGAGACAAGCATGAATCGGCCGATCTGTGTCGCGGATACGCGCGCGCGCACATGTAATGTAACTACACTAATATAATGAATAGGTGACCTTAGACCCCGCGGTGTTCCACCAGGGGTTCAGCTAATAGGGTATCACCTGAAGGTTGGCACGCCGCGCGCGCCCACAGCGGGCGGTCACCACGCCTCGGCTCGTGTCGAAAGCGAGCGCCTTCGCTAATCGAATTATTTTTCAAAAAACAATCTCGAATTGAAATGCTAACGTCGAGTCATCGTCACCGCATGCCACATAAACCACATTGTTCCTGAGATTGAACTAGCATCAACAAAATATTCAATTGAATTTTTTTCATTCATAATTCTCTAGATTATTCGATGAATCGACATAAATCATACTTACGTATTCAGGCTTTAACTTTTTATCGTTGCCTCGAACGACGGTACGTTCCAATGACTCTAATTTCTTCAGAATGGATTCTTCATCCTTAAGACGAAGTTCTTCACCGATGATTTCCAAATCCCGCACGGGGTTAACTTCACCCTCAACGTGGGTAACATCATCATCATCAAATGCACCTGTTTCATAAATAAATTGTAAAAATTTACATTATTTTAACTAAAGTCGTGGCAGTAAACTCACGGCAAAGATGGAAAATGGCGTCGCAGGCGCTAATATGCGACAAGAAAGCATTGCCTAATCCTTGGCCCTCGGACGCACCCTTCACCAAGCCAGCAATGTCTACGACATTGAGAAAGCCCGGTACTTTACTGAAAAGGCAAATTAGAAGCGTTTAATATGCGCGCACGTTGTACCGAGCAAATTGCCTAATTGGAATGTAGAGTTGCAGAGTTGGTTCGCAAAGTTAAGCGCGACGTTTGTGCATCGTCGTCATATCGAGCGAGATTATTCACTAGTTGTCGAAACTGCCACCGCCTTTGATCCTCGACGACTTAATGAAGACTCGTATTCGAGGGCTGCGCCACCGCTGCACGTCCCAACTTCGTATATAAATAAGCTTTTATCAAGCACCGCTCGCGGGATGCGAATGTATGCGTGAATCTGCAAGTCTAATCGAATCGTCGAAGCATGGCGCAGCAGCGCGAGAGTTTCCCTTCGACTTCCCGACAGCGGCGGCTTTTTACGATCGCTTTTCTTGGGCATTCTGCTGGATAAATCGTGCGCGCCGAGAAGGCGATGTATTCAAATATTCTATAAATGTACGAAAATGTCAAATCGAATTCACATTTTAGTATGCCGTCTCGCGCCGGAAAATATATTGTAAAATACTGGAAAATAAGAAGAAGCGCAAAGCAACCAGAAGCATAAAATGAATTCAGAGGCAATTCAGAGATCTCTTTATTGACATCGTAAATTTTCTTCTTTGCTTCTTTTTGCAAATTGTATGCACGCAAACAAAATTGAATAGAAAACATAGAAAAAAAATAGTAAAAAAAGGAGAAAAAAAAAACGAGCAGCAAAATCTTAAATTTTCAAATTGATTTCACTGAAGATGAAACCAAACACTAACACCAATGTCGTACTCATGTTTGAAAATATTTTCGTAATAGTTGTTTAGCAACTAATAACACGTCAAAAATAATACCTTTAAAAGCACAATTTAGGCACACCACGGTGGCGTGGTAAACCACCATCGGCTCGCTAATCTGATGTGATTGAACTTTATTATAGCCGAGTTGACAGCCCGTCAAGCTCGACGCACGCTTGCCAACACGAAAGCGCACACGTAATCACATAATGTCGGCGCTATTAACTATTTTGCTCCCTCGCGCTATCGCTACTCATATAAAAAAAAGGAACGATAACGTTAGATGCGCACATTCGTGCACGCATTCACATGTTATCCAGCAAAAAAAAAACATCGTACCAATCAATTTAGCATTAGCCAGGACGTGAAAACGGCCCCCGTGAAATTTCAGCACTTTACGCGTAACCTAATAAACCAAATAAAATATTTACCACGTTAAAAACCTGCCTTGATGAAGCAGAGAAAAAGAAGGCGAACACATAAAATCGCAAATTCCGCTAGTTTATAAAGCAGTCAAAATAAATCGACGAGATAATTAAGCAATGATTATAATCAAATTTAGTCGATATTTGTCGCTGTCGAGTGCGGACGCAGGACGCTTTCTGGCGACGGGATCTAATCGAGATTTAATTGCGTAAAATAAAATATGAGAATAATTACAAGTCGCTGTGCCTGGCTTTTACTTTGTGGCTCATTGCGTGTTCAAAAATAAAATCGCCTTTTTTCTACCATCGACCGCTTAACACTTACTTTACTATTGAGGTCATTCATAAACATTTAGCATCCCTATGTGACTCGGGGATAATTGTAAGTCATTTATATACGACTGCCACCCTATGATCTAGGCAGTATCCGCGTGCCATTCAGCAGCACACAAACGACCTACACAAACAAGAGTGTGATGCGTTTACATTTTATTCGTGTAATGTAATTTCGGTCTGTATGTCGACTAATGAGGGTGCTGCCAATTTGTGCGGCGCCACCGCGCCGGTGGGAACGCGTTGCGTAAAGGTAGAAGACGACACAGAGCGGAGAAAAATCTCAAACACGTTAAAACCCCGCCGTTTATGTGCGCACAAGTCAATTTGAGACGTCGGGACGACGAAATTGTATATTTTCGGGCGTAAATCGATAAGCGATGCACACGAGCCCCCCGTACGATAATTTTCGAATTAATGGATGCGGGAATTCCACATTCCGGCGGCGGCGGCACATCACATCTCTCGCCGAATCACAAATAGCTCGTGTCGCCGATCTAAATGCCCGCCGCAAATCAAATGCCGGCGGAAAATGATTATTATATAGAGCGCGATACAAATATTTGGTAATGGCTGTTTCGTCGCAGTAATTTCCGACATAATTGCTAACATTCTAACGTCCTAAAAACCTGTTTAGCTTATTGATACAAGATCTTCAGGCGTGTGTAGTCTAGTAGAAAAATGTTAGGGTATCGTGTGAAAATTAAATTCGTTGGCATCCCGAAATTGATTGAACAGACAGAAGCTTGTTTATTATATAGCTCTAGGATAAATTCTTAGATGCACGAGTATTCAAAGTCATAGCGTGATACTTATTCCAAATCATCCTCAGACCGATGATTTCAACGTCTATTATTTAATAATCGCGGCTACTGTACGGCGCCTGATTATGCCCCGAAAATATTTGTTATAAATTCATGCACACATGCGTCCATCCGTTCTACTCACCTAGCCGGCTTGTGGTACTGGCAGAGATAATCGAAGCGCTCGTCTGGCACCGGAACGCGACGTGCTGGAAACAAGATTTACTCGGTCAGACATGTCGTGCCGCATTTTCAACGTTTAATTATTTTATTAACCGCACCGGCGGCGACGGCCAGTGCGCACGATATTCATACAAAATAATGATATAAAAAATAGAATATCAGTCAAGCTGCGAAATTGTGCGTGTAGGTTTCATCGGGGCATCGACAATATTCCGAATGCATATAGATGGATCCGGAGATGGTTCCTTACGCGGTGGGATCGGCTCCTGATAATGCAGATATGGATTGATCATGCTTTTCGCTTCATACACCATTCGCTTGAGCTCCATTTGAGCATCCATCGTCTTTTTCTTAGCTTCTTTGTACAATACCATATGTTCTTTTGACGTTTTAGGATTGTTGACTTTTAAAACCAAGCCTAGGCACACAAGGGCTGATTGTCCAACAGTTAATCCTGGGATTAAAGGGCGCACTGCTTCGACTTCAATCAATGCCTTGATAACCTGCGTACTGACATATTGCTCAAGCATTCCTAGTGTTGGTAGAGTCTGAATATCACGTGCAGGAAAATAGTTAGGTGGTATTTCATTACGTATACCTTTAGCCATCTCCGGTTTTCGAACAAAATCTGACATACATTGCTCATTATCAAACAAATAGATTTGTTCGCCATATTGAACTGCATTTGACGGTAATCCCATATTGTAAGTTGTCCCTGGTCTACCTTGTGCAAGACAGGCCACACAATATCCATACAAAAACACATTTTCTGGCACTTCTGTTATTTCAACAACTAGAGGTAATTGACAGGGTAAAGTATGGCGAACATTCGGTCCCAAAAAGGCGGTTGGATTATCTTCAAACTCTTCAATATGATCACTGCACAACCAGTAATACTTGTCATGATAACTAATCATGCCTGTGCGATCTGGCGGCCTGCCACCACAATTCAACGCATTGTCATAGTACAAACAAAGTGGGCAATAATACCTAAACTCAGATTGACGCGAGAGAAATTCATACGGTGTAACCAATAAATTGGCAACTCGCAGAGCCATATCCTTGCCGCAATTTCGATAATAATATTTAATTTCATTCAACACAGCAAGTATTATTTCTCGTGCATTAACCCACGTACTCCACCGGCTAGGTTCGACTGAAACAGTAGCTAAATTCTGATACTCTTTGTCAATCCACTGGCGATAGATCTCTTTATCAATCAACCAATCATCGTATCGATATTTAACAAACTTCTTGGAATATTGAGGTTTATGTTGTGTTTCAAACACATCCAAGTGATGTAAAATATATTCCAGTGACGCAGATAGGTCTAGAATCAAATGAGGTACCAAATTCATTTGTGCTAAAAGTTTCACCTCGTCAATCATATTCGGAAAACCGTCCATCACATACCCCAATGCAACAGCTTTAGCTTCAAACGTCATCGCTTCAACGCATTGCATAGTCAAATCATCCGTAAGTTCCTCACCACATTCTAACTGCAAACGCACGCGCTGTGCCAAAATCGAACTTGACATGTATTTCAACACTCGACGCACTGCTTTACCAATGGTGATATGCTCAAGAGAATATTCAGATGAAATTCTTTCTGCGACAGTAGTTTTTCCGCAATGAGGCGGACCTATTACAGCGACACGAGCACGCACCAAAGGCAGCGGACAATAATTCTGCTGCGTGTATTTCAAAATATCCTTCTTGAATTTCTCTCGATTTTCCGAACCAGCAATGTAATAAATATAATTTGAATAAATCATAGGAAACAATTGGAATTGTGCTTCTTTTGTAATAGACATCTGTAGAGGATTATACTTCTCATACATCTGAACAGGGCAAGTTTTTCCAAAACGACTTAGAAAATAATATCCATTTTCTAGCAGTCTTTCTGCCATTTCAATTGTCACATCATACGCACGTTCCAGAAACGAATCGTTTCGAAACAAATACGGCATTATACTCTGCATGATTAAATTATACACGCGTATTATTTCCATGTTAGCGTCTACTCTGTGCCATGGTATTTTCTCTTCTTGTGCACGTTCTTGAAGCTGTTGTAAATCCAATTGAGATTTATTTGTATCTTCAGCAGCTTGTCTCAGTCGCTTGGTTGCGGCTTCTTCAGTTTCCCAAGTATCTACTAAAACCGGCGGTGGATAGTGCTGCTGCAAAAAAGCTTCAACTTCCTTATCGTCCTGCGCTTCTTGAAATGACTTGTACGATAGTAAAGATTCTGCTTCTGATAAGGCTTCATCTTCTCCGTAATACTTCTGGATATACTTCTCTTGACGCTTTTCATCTAATAATCTTTGTTTTTCTATATCCCTCATAATTTGCCAATGATCAAGCTCATGTTCATGATTTTGCTGTTCAATGGCCTTTTCGATTTCTATTTGCGTGCGCCATTCTTGTAATAAAATGTCCGCCAGTCTTAAATTCAGTTGATAAGTGTCCATGTGAAGTTCAACGATACAATCCGGAATTACAAAGTGGTCGAGCATAAATTGAATGTCACTAGGCCGTCGAGGAAAACCATTCATGACAAACCCAATGGCTTTTTTATTTGGATCATGCCAAAACGGAAGTATTAAATCTTTTAAAATTGCATCATCATACACCATGGATTCAACATATCCTTCGCCCGCAATGGCTTTCAGTTCTTGTTGAAAGTCAAAATAAAATAATCCCAACCACTTGCAAAGCAATTGAGATTGCGTGTTTTTGCCAACACTCTTGTTGCCTACAATGCAAATTCTCGGAGGTGGCATCTTTTGATTCGGTTTAACATGCTGTGAATATTTGTGTGGCGCCTGAAGAAACATGCTCATAGTGCCCTCCGTCGCAAACAACCACATTTTATTGCAATAATTAACAAGGAACTCCTCCTTGCCTTCCCACAATACTCCATGTCGCGTAAATACAACTGGGTCATAATATGCTGTATTCCCCAAACGGCGACTTTCCCGAAATATTTTTTCATTAGCCGAATAATCCTCAGCATCTTCTCCTCCAAATTCACCCGATACAATGTCACCGTACTCACCGTAATAAGACGGTTCCAGAATTTTTTCTTCCGAAGTCACCACGCGAGCATAATCATTATGCGCAAATCTATAATCATCAATTAATTCTGCCAAAAGTTCTGCAAAGCGGTGCGCACCGACATCAATAATCTTATATTTGTACAAAAGCTCTTCCAAAGTATCCAACAAATCAGGCATGATTTTCCCCAGATATGTATCAATCCTCGATCTAAGTTCTTCACCACTCTTATCGAATGCAGAAACACTACGAAAACTTATACTAGAGAAATTAAAGTTCAAGTGGGCATCATCATCATCTCGAAGCAATTCATCCAGAATACTGTCATCAATGCAATTGGTTCCACAGCTCATGTTTTGCAAAGATACGCCGTTGGTAGAATCGCCAATCACATAAATTAAATCGGCAACATTATCACGATCAATTTGTTTTAATATGTCACTAGAAGCGGGAAATCCGTCAACAATCCAAACGCTAATTTTACCTTGCTCCATCATAGATTGGTACTCATTTAGCATCATATTTAAGCATTCAGCTACATCTTCCGACGGTGTTTGGTCCAAAACTGACCTCTCGGCTTTCAGAATAAGGGAACGTGCATAGTTCATTACACAACGACTCTCCGGTCCGATAACATCGAAGGTAAAAACACTAGGTTCTTGCATACTATCAGGCAGGAACTTCATTATAAGCGACTTGTCGTTCAAGTACTTTTCGCAATCATCAGCAGATTCAATTTCAAAAAGTGACCTCAAATCCGAAAATCTTTTCTCAGTCTTCTCGTCCTGAGGTTTATTTTCCGAAGGGTCTTGCAAATATTTAAGTAATTCTTTTAAGCGTTCAATAATGCAGAACATAAAAGCATTAACCTTCTTCATGCGAATAGCTTCTTGTTTTAAATAAGTTTTTTTACGCATCTTCTTCATATGTTCAAGTGCCTCCTTGTTCGCATCATCCTCGCTCAACCGAGTCTTGAGTTGTGAACATTTTGCTTTAATCATATTAATATCAATTAATATGGCACCATTGAAATGCTGCATGCATTTTGCTATTGCAGTTTTTCCGCAACGCGGCGGTCCGATAATAAACACGCGGCAAATTGGAAACGGCAACGGGGTGAGTAAATAAGGACGAGGATTCTCTAAAAACCGATTGCACCGTTCTTCATTGCTCAAGAAAAAGATGCTATTCATAAAATGGACGGCATATTTCGCAGTACCCACTTCTTTGTCACCCTCTTTCGTCGCAACAGGACACAAATACTTCCAGTCGGACAATTTCCACGTGTACAACGGACCGAGACATTTTTGGGAACGCATCATAAGATAATCTCTTTCCGAAGCCTCTTCATTAATACCCGACGGCAAATTATCTGCATTTCTAAAATCAAATTCTCCCGGTTCAACAATTTCTACAGTTGAAGATACAATCAATTCCGGCAAAATCGCTGGTGAAAATGGTAACACTTTCAATCGCATCCGCAGTACCTGAAATAATCGATGTGGCGACATTCTACCGTCCAATCTAATAATATCTTGAGGATCTTTAAGTAAAATGTACTTTTCAATGACAAGCTGTGTATCCGTTAGGTATGCTTCTAATTGTACCCTAACATGTGCAGGATAATTACGTATATTTTTAATAGTTCGCTGATTTAATTTGGCTGCTTCATCCAAAACAAAATTCTCTTCCTCATCCTGATACATATTATACAATGAATAAAATGCATTATCGGAGCGTTCATGTTGAATGCTCGTTTCTTGCAATGTATGGCAGTCGTAACGGTTGTCCTCACAAATGTGAACAACCTCCTCGTTGGAGCACTTTAAATAAATAATACAATAATCATGTTGCTCGCATAAAGACATCACAAATTCCATTTGATTTACATTATTGTCATACAATTTACTTTGATAGCAAATGCGTTCATCTCGGATTATCATAGAGGATACATAACTAGTCATAATAACCTTTTTACTCGGAACGTCAAAATTTACTTCTTCAACATTAACACTTTCCTCTTCCATCTCTACATCCATGTTTAAAGAAGTGCGTGAAACATGCTTTACAGTATCTGACTGTGTGACATCCTCAATTATATCCTCAAAAATTTCTTGTGCGTTAAAAATAGCCGACTCGGAAGATGCAGGGTCATCGGTAAACAAATCATTTGCAATCAGTGGAAATCCACACAATACAAAACCGCGGTGTTTTACACTTTCGCTGTTTAGACGTTTCTCCAGCAGACGTATAATTACATCTACATTAATCGAACGTCCGCACCTTAGATTAAATTCGATGCACAGCCCCGCCCTGCTTCCCGATCGAATTTCTTCCTGTATCAACGCTTCCGGATTGATAAACACGCAGTGCCAATAATCAGCAAGTAATTTTCCGAGGCGTTCCTCGCCCAACCCCGGCTTGCCCAGTATGACGAAGCATTTTGGTTTCGCATTCAAGTACGCTAACTGCGCCTTCCTTTCGGTGAAGTGATCCGTCCTCTGCGTTTCATTCGTTGGTGGTTCCGGCAACATTGATAATTCGCTGGTCTCTGTTGCTGCTGATGACGACGGAACATCATCGGACTGGCGTGGATATTGCTCGTAGAGTAAATGAGGCACACGATTAACAGCATCATAATCTTCGGCAAACTCGTAATATGAATTGACAAATGGATATTGCTTCGGTTGATTGGGTGGCACATATTTTTCCTGCGCGGAATAATTATAACCGCGTACGTATTTCAGGAATTCTTTTTGTATTAACACGTGTTGGTTACAATTAAAACTGAATAAATCAACATCTTCTGGGATAAAATTGTATGGCATGTCGAATATTTTAAATCGATTGACAGGACATACAAAATAATAAATGAAATAAAATGCGTTACGGTAACAACACATTTCGTTGTACATTTTAAATATATGCATAGCTGATTATGATAAATGAGTAAAAAAATAATTGGATACTTATTCTCATTGGGATCGATTGTGCAGAAAGGGAAATTTTCGGCTGCGACAGCACTCTTGGTCAACACGTTGAAAAACGTTGATTTTCCAACGTTGGGCACACCCACAATGCCGATGCGAAGCGTGGTGCCGACACGACCGATTAATGGCTTTCTTTCCGGTTCCGCAACTTTTTTCGGCGGCATGCTACAACAAATGAGAAAATTTATATAAAAATATCGTTTTAATGCAAAATAATTTAAATTTTCTTCATAAAAATATTAACATTTTCAAGTGGCTGTTCTGGATGTAGAGCATTAGTTAGTTGCAGGTCATAAATTCGCATATTTAAGAAAATGAATTCCAGCTGATTTTGCATATAAAATTTCTATAATTTCGAAAACGATCGAACGATTTAATGGCCGCGCAAAAACGAAATGATGGTTTTCCATACGATACCGTCCAAACACAGGCGCAGCCCGCCAGCCAATAACTGATATTATGTTTGCCATCTCGTACAGTTTCGTTTTGCAATATTTTTCCCCTTTCGACATTTTCCGCCGAACTAAAACCAATCATTTTTCGCGATTTTGCGTGGTCCGCACCAACCACATCCCCTCGAGTGCATAACGTGCACCGCAGCGCGCTTTGGCGTCGTATGCAAATCGACATTGCTCCAAATAATAACAGACATTTGCAATGTGCAACTTAATTTCCGCCAAATAGCAATTTTCAATCTTGATATCGAGACTTTTTGCGTTCGGCAAAACGCGCGCGCCGCGTGCAGGAAACACGATGGCATCACCGCGCCGTGAGCTCGACGAAACGGAGCTTTGGTATCAAAAACGATGGCGATTTCGAAAATATCGCTTTAATAATAAAGTGCGCGCCATGCCCTTATACTCGCCGTGGACACGCATGCCTCGGCGCCGCGCTCGCGCTCTGCAATTTCGGAATTTCGCCGTCCTCTTTGCCTACCAATGGGCATTAATGTAATTATCGATACGGACCGCCGCAGGAGTCGAACAAACGCTAGAGCTGCGCGCTCGTTACATGCCATTCCTGCGAATATCAAACGCATTATGCAAATGTGCCTTCGACATGAACGATTTCGCCAGCTACGCCAATGAAAGCAAAATATTAGTAAATCATAGACTAGATGCTATAACGGACTTCCTCCGGTTCAGCGCAGCGCAAACTCGGCCAAGTTTTCGAATAAGCGCTACAAACGAATTTGACCAGAGTATTAGAACATAGATGGCGCTAGCTGTACCAATTTAGACCTAGCACAACAAAACTTTTCACAACATGAAAGTTCAAACAATTTCGACACTTTTATTCAAATATAAAATTAATAAATTATTCTAAATGACAAAACGCAAATTAAACATTCAGGAACAAAAAAGATTTCTACAATTCCTGCAACGCACACAAAGTAAAATAATCAATATGTTCAATGCTAAACAAGTCACAGGTTGCATTTTCAATTAATAAAGGCAGTATTATAATAACCTTGGTGTAATAACAAAAATAACTTTTCCCTAAGGTATGGCTCATGGCAATAAATATATTTCCCAAAAATACTATAAAAAGTACGGTCTGAATTGGACTTAACCTCAACATTTGTGAAAACAATCCGCACGCTTGAAGTTAAAAATAGTAAGCCACCAATGGGTATAGTAACACTATTAACTTTTACTAATTTATTAAAGGTAAAAGAACAATGACTTACATTTATCAATTGGTTGCTACTTCAGGTATCACTAAAATAAATAACAACGTGTGGATGACACTTCACACCAACACAGAGAGATAGGAAACCGTGAACATGCCGTCTGGTTAGTGGGGTTACCGACTTACAGTTTTCTGTAATCATCGGAAGCAGCGGCGAAGCAAATATAAAATATCTTCACACATAACGCATAAATATTTGTAAATTAAAGAAAATATGTGTGTTATTTGAGTTGTTGTGTGGAGATATATGATTAGCAAGGCAAGCATGTGCCTAAATTCTATTGTGTGAAATAAAAAGCGGATGTGGAGTAGAATTTCACAACAAACTGAATTATACAAAGCATATTTACGTGATTATTTGGATTATTTCAGAAAAAGCACAAGCAAAATTACTCAAAATACAAAGAATGTTTTATTTTGTGTATTTTAAAGTAATTTATTATATCGATAAAGTTTGTTTCCCATCAGCACCTTCTCCCGCACCCCAATTCATATCAAAATTAGGGCTTCACACGAGACGAGACTGGACGATACTATCAAAGGTATCGTCTCGGTCTCGGTATCGTCTCGCAAAAGCGATACGAGACCGAGACGATACGAGAAAAGTCTCGGTATCGTGTGAAGCTTTAAGTAGAACTCAGTTTTAGATCTTTGCAGTTCAAAAGTTTAGTCATTTAATTACTAATTGCATGTATTGTAAAGTAAATCCAAAATACATACATTGTTTAAAATATTAATTTTTAATTACATCACTTTTAATTGAAAATATATTTTTTAATGTTTCAAATTTTTTAAACGTTAATGTATACTAGGGTACAATAATCGAGTTGATTTGTGTTGAAAGTAAGCGGCGCACGTCTACAATTCCTAACTTACCCAGATGTTTACAATATCTTTGCTTCAAGAAGTACAGAAAAACACAAAAATATGTCTCCGGATGTGTAAACAAAGACAAAATTTTCATAAAACTTTCAAAAAGTCAAAAGGTCATGATATTCGGTTACTGACTTGTTATTTTGAATATACAAAAGAAATATTTCACAGATGGTCATATATTGATTTCATATATTGGACCTTTTCCCATTTTTCTAATAACAACTTCATAAAAAAGTAACGAGACCAATAACGAGACCAAAAACGAGACTCGGACTGTGGTATCGGTATCGCCGAGAAATTGGTAAAACACGTCTCGTCTCGGTATCGTCTCGCTTTTCCGAGACGAGACCGAGACGATACGAGAAAAGTCTCGGTATCGCGTGAAGCCCTAATCAAAATCCCTTTTTAAACTCTGTAATTACTTCTTTTGCAATTGCATCCATTCTATACGCATTAAAAACGCAACATCGCGATGCACCCGCTCGTTACACTCATTATTTAATCATTACTTTTATATTATTACCGCGGCATCGCAAGAAAACCGCAAGGCGTACCACGCTGCCATTGTTGCTAACTTAATAAACGCAAAAATGCAACGAATTGCAGACAATTAGATGTTCTCGCATAATAAATGCACTTCAATTGTAAGTTAAGCAGTTATTAACTAATTAATTATGATTCTATAAACACGTCGACGTCTTTTATTAAGTAACTCTTATAATGCTGCGAAAATTCACGTTTTTCAATTATAGTTTTAATTAGATTCGCAGAATGAGGGGTAACATAATAACAGCATTACACTAAGCAAAATTGAAATATCACCCTCGTGTTAGATGATTGGATGATTAATGTTGCAACTCATGATGTCGTCGATGATGTAGCAATTGACACATTTTCTTACGCATTGTCCGGTCGGTCGCATTGCGTGCGCTTCCTGTCGGCGTGGCTGGCGTCATGTGAGTCGTCAGTCGTGAAGACTTCGTTCGTATTGTTGCGCTTTCGGCAGCAGTATTTGCCAAAGGGCGCCGGTGCGCCGCAAAAAGACCGCTTCTGTCCGGATGTGGATTGTTGGCAACAATTGCTGCAACTGTAGCGGGCGAGTAACAGAGTAACATGTTAAGTCCGGCGCAGCATGTGGACGATGTAGTTATTGTAGCAAATTGTATACGAATTGCGGTTTTCTTCCGATGCTTGCGGCCGTTTGATGTCTTTATCGGGCGTGGTGAATGTTGGTTAGATTTTATGCTCTACTTCTATGACACAATCATAGATCGGCTGATTTCAAACGGTGCAATACAATTGAACAAACGTTAACCGCCTTCTTAGTGATAAAATGTATGATGACAAGTTGCTATGATTGAAAGACGTTAAGAACTACTGTCGGCACAATCTTTACTTTACTAATTTCATTTAAATTTGAAGGAAATAACCTGAAATGTATGTAGGTACTGCAACTTTGTGCATAATTGGTTGCATACAATTTGATGTAGATGAAATTTTTGAATTTTTCTTTAATACAATCACAATAAATCTAATAATATGTTTTATTGTTAATGGGGGGTGTGCCGTAGGGGGGTTGTTTGGTCCAAACAAGGGACGCGTGTCCGCCTCCCCAAAAAAGCGTTAGGCGGTTTGACATGCTCGTGCTGCGAAATCCACGTGCGGAACCCTCTCGGCATGCAGCATGTGTGTGCGCAAGGGAGGTGTGTGGACGCCGCCTCCACAGTGGCGCACGGCAGCTGCGTCGCCTCCTAAACACTATTACCAAACTAGAAGACAACATTTACTGCAACATGTTGCCGAGTGCTGCAACGCAATCGTTTAGCTGTTTAGCACGTAGGTGGAGTTGTCCTGTCATAATTTGACCCGTGCCACGTAATGGCCCGATTATTATTTCGCCATCGGAGTCTGGATGTGAATAGCGCACACCGGAAGGGAACACGATCCACACGATTGCGACGGGCGACTACCGTATTTTGCACAATGCACACAGCGCGAGCGCACTAATAGTACACCCACTTTTTTTCCTGATAATTATCTGCAAACTGTTTCCGGATGCGCTCCCAGTGTGCAATAATAGAATCTGCAGTTCGCGATTTGCTCTAAGGTTCGTAGGTACACTCATGAGTAACAATCAAGGATTGTTATATTGTGATGAATCCTCCCGAAGAATGATTGTTACGTGTTGTTAGAGACGACGTGGAATTGCTACTGTTGGATGCACGCACGCATGCAGATGTTGCAAATTAGATGGAATGAAGAAACGGAAGCACAGAATTATTGAAAAGCGAGCGGAATTACAGAAATCGTCCCAACATATGCATACAATTTGATTAGAACCCATTTTATAACTATTAAAACATTCTTAAGGGTTATAAAGCAAATGGCTTCTTTATAACCTCAAATTTAAGTTTCATCGTAAAAATACCGAAGATAAACTATCGACCAATCAAATGGCAATCATTTACCTAATGTGCGATTCAGACGGGCGTCGATAGTTTATTGCGATTTATAACTTAAGTTAGTAATTTACATAACATTTGCATCAGACTTCAGATCAGACCACTTATGTGAAGGGAACAAAAATGACCGTTTTGTGGTTGGTTGAATTTCAAAACGCATCGCATCCATGTTTATCTCACATGAAATTTGAAACTAATCTTCATCAACATAAAAAACACATTTATTGCAAAAATTACTAACAAAAAACAGTAGGTTGATATCGAAGTTAATTACCCGTTTCAATTTCACGTTTTCGAAATTAAGTTACACATTGCCGATGTTTTGATAGCGATGATAAATCGTTGTCACATTTTTGCACCTTCATGCCACTGAAGCACCAATTGCGAGCCGCGAGCACACTCGCCAGGCAAATCTAGATAATGAAAAGGAATGATATAATTATAAGGTGGAAGTAGAGTATACCAACGCAGAGAGAAATGACCGCCGCACATAATCATTAATTTCTAATTAAATAATTTATAATAATTTTCATGTCATTTACAAGAAGTCGCTGCTTAATTGAACTTAATTCATGGTGCGCATTCCAAATGTTTTAAATTTATAGCGCTGGTTTTTATTTAAGCACAAAAAAAAAACAAAGGCAGACAAGAAGACTTGATGAAGTTAAAATGACATTATAATAGTTCTGTAAGTTTTAAAATGATAACAGTTAGGTGAAGTTAACTAAAAGTGTGGATATTTTGAGGTTATGCAAATGCTTGATTTCGTGTCAAGCATCAATAAAACCTGTAATCGTCCGCTTCCTTCAGTAATCTAATATAATAACACGTGACATTTTCCATTCACCGACACACGCGGTCCCATTTAAATGGCGTCGATTAAAATAATCCATTCGTTATTATTGATGCATAAATTAGTTCTATCGCGCATTAATGCCGGCGGGCACTGATTTCCTCATTAATTGCGCAAATCACGCGAATGCGCTCGGACCGTTCGACTTTACACATAACTTTGCATTTCTAAACAATGTATCCATATAGAAAACGTGATTCTGATGTTAAATAATCAGCATGTGGACATTTCGTAGCTAGAAAATTATAAGCGAGAACGTGTAGCGCATAATGCGTAATAACTGTCGTGATAAGGTAGTGAGGTCTTTTAATTTCTAGTTGCGCCACCTACTTTTAAGAGCCGCCCCGCGTGGAAATAGTCGCGGTTCGTTCGCGGTTCTTCCCTTTTGTGGTGGACGTACGTGACTATAATTATTCGCGTGTGTGCATAAATGTGGCGGCCATTTTACTTCTGCATTGGCGACCTGTTTCCGATGTGTTTACTGCACACAACCAAACTGTTATTGTCTTTTACCAAATGTATACTTTGACATATAATATAATTACACGTAATTAGATAGCAAATTAATGTTTGTAATATTTGTAATAGTTTCATGTTTGTGGTTAGGAGACATCGCACGGTATATGCAACATAGGCAACTTATATAACACAAACATTTTTTAATTTTTTTTTGTTTTTGATGTTTTTAATGTTTTACACGATTTTTACTGGTTTAATTATCTATAAGTCAATTTTGTGGCCTGTTACCTTTCATCTCAGTCTCCTTGGCAACCCGATTACGCCGTGTTACTACGTTGTTAGTTGATTTTATGGCGATACGTATCGACTCGAGGAACACCTTTTTATTAGGTATTATGACCACCGCCGCTTTGTTCTCGGCGCTACGTCGGGCCGTGTAAAAGAATGACACGT